GTTTGGTCGTTTGCTTGCCTGTGCAGGGAGACCGTGAGGAGTTCAACCAGTGTCAGGCACAGCTCAAGTCCCTGTACAGCGAGAATCTGCCTGGAAACCTGGGCGAGTTCACCGCCTACCGCATCCTCTACTACATCTACACCAAGAACTCTGGGGGTAAGGTGGCTGGCTCATGAGGGCTCATCTCCATTGCATGGTGTGTTTTTTTTTCTAAGCGCGCTCGTTTATTTTAGAAGTGCCATCGGATTCGATGAGCAGTTGTTACAGTAGGGTGGGTCTCACTTGTGAAAATTTAAAAAGTTATCTTTTTATTGCACAGGTTGAATGTGTCATCTTGCATATCTTGGTATAGCGCGCAAATTAGGATTTAATGTAATGGCCATGATAACTCTGCGTTGAATCACCGTTGCTGAGTGCGAGTAGACAATCACTAGATTAAGCTTGAAGCTTAAATAACTGCGGATAGTGCGAGCGCGTTGGACTGCAGATGCCCTGGCTTGACGCGGTGCCGCATGCAATACCCAGAGGATCAGCCAGAGGGCACAGCAGAGCTGACCCCCGGGTTGGTTGGGTTACGTAAACATGGCCATTGCAAACAGCAGAGAGCACCTTGCTACACCAGAGGGAAGCTCCCAACAGCAGCACAGCTGTGACTTGGGCTGTTGGTGTTGGGGGAGATGTTTGATTTTGGCCATTGTGAAATCTAATCAAATGCCGTGGATCACGCGTGCGCTCAGATCTCACCACCGCGCTGGCGCAGCTGCCTAAAGAGCTGAGGGACGATACGTGCGTGGAGCATGCGCTATCTCTGCGTGCCGCTTGGGCCCTGAACAACTACCACAGGTTTTTCAGACTGTACAGGACTGCCCCGCTAATGTCCAGCTACCTCATGGACCTCTTTCTGGAGAGGGAGCGCAAGGCAGCCCTCAAGTCCATTATAAAAACGTATGTCTTTCACTGCCTTCATGTTTCCTGTCGTCAAGTAGTATTGCTCTGCTGCTGTTTTCGTCTCTCCGTTTATTTAATTTCTCTTTTCTCTCGCATCACCTCTATCACTTTGTGTGTTTTGAAACTGGTAGGTGTCTACAGTTTCAGGCAATCAGATTGTTTTCTCTTAATTATTAATCTAACGTTCCGCATACTTCCCCCAATATCATTGGCATGCCAGTTTCAAACAGCCCTCGCATCTTTCATTTCTCCATTTCGACGACTTTGTCAGCTTTTAAATATAATGCACTTTTCCTCTAGTAGCAATGGTTTTGCACAGGTAAGTAGCTGTTGCACCAGGTGAGTATTCACACACACACGCACCTTACATTTTTCTGCACACACATTCTTGTTGATGCGAACAATTTAATAAGGTAAGAGTGTTGCGTGGTGTAAATGTTTTCTGATGTCGAGTGTAAATGCAGTAGAAGGGTTCAGAATTTTCTTTGTTGATTGAAGTTGTAATTGTTGTGTTTTCTAACATGTTTTTGTGCCTTTTCTCCCTGGTTTCTCTTCCCACCATAGTTTCCGCCCCACAGTCCCCGTGCAGTTTGTGCAGTCAGAGCTGGCATTCGATAGCGAAGAGGATTGTCGCGCTTTCTTAGATTCCCTAGAAGTGAGCTACCTGGCCAACGATCTGAGCAAGGTCGACTGCAAGCAGAGCATGTCTGTCTTGCAGAGCACGTGACAAGCGTCGAGCCGCACGCTGTCCTAACCTCGCCCCTGTCCCCGTGGCATGCCGTCATGCCACCCTCCAAATGTTTGCGAGCAAGGGGAGCATTAAGAAAAGGCTGATGTTAGAAAAACGCATCGGTCTTGGGGATCCCCCGCTCTGCTGCACTGCGTCAGTCAGCCTTCCGTGGCTGGCGTGCTGGCTGGATTGTCGGCTGCTATTGCCGTGCAAGGGCCGAGCAATTGATGGTTGTGATTGAAAAATTACTTCCTGGTCAATGATGAAATAATCTGCAAATACTGTAAAAAGTAGCATTTTATAAAATTAGTAATTGGCTGTACCCAAAAGCCATTTAAATCAAATGCAAGGTGGCAGAATCTCTTGACAAGATATTTGCCTCTTCGCTGTGCCAAAAACAAACATTAGTAAATTGGAGTCGACTTACCGGAAAGGCATTTGGTGTGTGGGTGTGTTTTTGAAACCAGAATGCAGTTCATGAGTAAATCAAGTACAGCTCTACCCGCTTCTTTAATGCTGCTTGTAAACACTGCTATTGACCTGTCTGTGCGTTGTGAGCTTGTCCGAAGCAGGGTTTGTTGGGCCTGCAGCCTCTGCCTAGCACCTGCAGCAAATGTAATGAGATGTAAAGCCATCGACCAAACCCAAATACCAAGCTGCTTCATCAACCCCAATGGACTTTCTCCTAAGAACTTTCGTAGTTGCTGCCGGTGCCGAAATGTTTCCCTCCTACACGTCGTCTTGGCTGTCGCCTGCCCAGCTGCCCTGCCGCGGATCCAGTAAAGTTGCCTCATTGCTTGAGGTGGTTGCCTGGGGCTCGCTCTGGGCTGAGGTGGTGCAGAGGTGTTGGGTCCAGAGTCCAGGTCTGCTGTGGTGGTTGGAGGAGGGGGGTTCTTGAAGAATTGAGGGGCACTTGAGCTTGGTGTCCCAGTCTTCATTGCACAGTTTCTGGTTATTGCACCAATTGTAACTTAAGGAATGTACATAGATTCTAACTTTGTATAATTATAGATGTCGGTGATATTTTTTAAGTGGGTGACAAGGGTATGGGAGTCGCATGTTTGTATTATTTTTGTTTAAATTAGTTTTGTCTTATTTGATGTCTCCGGTTAAGTTATGAAGTTCCGTCAAGACCAGGTAAAAGTCAAATTCTGCTTTCAAAAAAACTTTGCTATCTTCAATACTTTTGTTTTTACAGGGTGCCGACTGTATATATGTATGTACTGTACTTTTTAGTTGTAGTGAATAAACCATTAAACAGTGTATTGTCCAAGTTTTTTTTTTCGTAAAAGTGCTTGGTGTGGCTGTTTATCTTAAGTCCTTTGAGCGATTGACGTTCCCCATTTCCGTGGTGGCGGGGTGAGTCCCTCCATAGGAAACCCAGTGTTCATTTCCCATAAGTGATGTCAACTATAGTCATTTCACGTAAAATCATGTGTAATGTTGCATGCATGTGATGGCCTTTTACATATTTGTGAATTCTTCCTCAAGCCCACTCGTGGCAATCTGACCTCGACATTAGCATCTAGCTCTCGTACGCAAGAATGAAATTGATTTATATAAAGCTTTGGTTTTGTATTACCGCATCGGTCTGCATTGGCTCGAATGCCTTTTCATGAGGCAGGTATGGTGGTCCAGTGTTTGACAGTTGAGTATCTGACGCAATGCTTGTAGTAAAATGGTAGAAAACCCCCCTCTTAAGAAATCTTGAGATGGAACACATTCCTGCGGAGGGAGCTGGTAGGAACGGTAGATTGCTCGGTCAATGGCCAGGGTCAACGGCGGCGTGGTGTATTCCGCAAATATAGCCGACTGAGGGGCGGGCACAAGCTGGCGTGAGTAGGTTAAACGTTGAGTTTTATAAGGGCACCCCGGGGTGACCAGCCCCTCCCCACCCAGCCCCTCCCTGCACGACGGACACAATAATCCCCTGTGGGTTGGTGTAACCAGGAGGTTCCTACCAGTATTAGATTTACAAGTATATGAGCCCAAAGCGAAGATCACCCCGAGAAGAAACCATCACGATAATGGGAGCGAGATGCATTTTGGCATTGCCGTATCACGAGGTATGGCGACGAGACGGGCTCGGCTTTTCATCCTGCAGTGTATCGACCATGTGGATGATAACTGATGTCCAGGGTGGTCCCAGATGTATTGTGACCCCTCCCCACAATCAATTGACCCAAAAAAAATGTTTTCCCTTTGCACATGAATTTCTGCTTTAAATAAATCTTACTTTCAAAAAATATGTTAGGTACACTTTATCTCCAGTACTTCAACGCAAAAGTTGGGTGGAGGAGGGGGGGGTGCACGTCTTATAATCCGATCTATTTGCGTATTACCACTTTTTTTTTATAAGGGGCCGTCCATAAAAGACGTCACGCACCTGCGGGGGGGGTCAGACATTTGTGACGACGGGGGGGGGGGGGGTTGAGAAATGTGACGTCACATCATAATGCGCAACTTTAAATCAATATAGACAACACGTTCTGCTTAATTGAATTGACTTTTATAATGTTTTCTCCAACATCAGAGTGCAGCGCCACATTAAATACACACTACAATGACAATAGTTTAAAGCGATTTGAAGCATGTTTTATTTTTGGGGGGGGGGGGGCAAAGCTTTGTGACGTCATATTTGAGTGGGGGTCTGACTTTGTGACGCCGTGTGACAAGTGGGGTCAAAAATCGTCCAAAATCGCGTGACGTCATTTATGGACGGCCCCTAACTTCATTGGCACCCGAGCGCACGTTTGTGGAGAGGGAGGGGGGGGTTGGTGGGGGTGGGGGTGCGCCCAGTCTCCATAGCAACACCGCTCCATGCAGTGAGGGGGGGGGCACAGGTGGCGCATCAGCCACTCATCTCAGTCAGCCACAACCAATGGCACCTGGGTCTGCCCCGTGACCTCCTGACAGCAGCGGGCGTTCGACACCTCACGTGGCCTCAAGGTGCACCTAGCCTGGCACAAGCGTCGAGGTGACGTCACCGCCACTTAGTGGCGAATGGCGGTAGTTGTTGGGGGTGGTGGGGGGTTGGTGGGGGGGGGGTTATAAACTCGCCATCTTACTACCACGCCCCCCCCGCACCCAACTCGTCCCATTGGCTGCCTACCATCCACGTGACCGCAACGGCGCCCCGTGGTTGGGCGACAGACTCCGGGTGTCGCAAGATGAGGGGCGGGGCGGGGGGCGCTTTTTCTCTCCCGCCCGCGTCTCATTCATCGCGCGCGCGCTCACGTTGCGGTCACGTGGCCTGGTGCCTCGGTCGCCACGGCAACGACCCCCCCCACCACCAACACCGCCCCCCACCCACCCAGCCACACTCGAGCAATGGCGGCGCCCGTGGAACCCCAACGCCATGAGGACATCAACAACATCAGCAACAACGAGAGCAAACACAACAACAACAACGATGAAGCGGAAGAAGACGACGAGGCGGTGGCCGCCAGCCTCTCGCGGAGCCTCGCTCGCCACCTGAACGCGCTCGGCGACGAGAGCCGCCCGGCGAGGCGGCGCGCACTCGAGGCCCTGGTGCGGGAGACCCTGGGACGCGAGCGTCCGCTGTCGGGCGGCGCCGTGCGGGCGGCGTTGGACGCTTCGCTCCTGCGCCCCGCGCTCCGCTGCCTCGTGCGGGACCAGGCCGAGTCCTGTCGCGAGGTGGCGGCGCGCCTCCTCGCCGGGTGCCTGGGCGCCACTTCGCGGCCCGAGGAAGCGCTGCCTTACGTGGTCGCGGCGGTGGTTGGGCGATTGGCTGTCGGTGCCGGTGGTGCCGGTGGTGGTGGTGGGGAGCCCTCCGAAGAGCTGCGCCTGACCCTGGTGCGGCTGCTGTCACTCGCCGTGAGCCGCTGCGATCCCGCGGCGGTGACGCCGCACGGGGAGGAGTTGGTGCGGGCGCTGAAGAGCTGCATCGTGGACCCTTTCCCCGAAGTGAAGAAGGAAAGTTGCCGCTTCGCCTCCCAGCTCGCTGCGAGCCTGCCCGGTATGGAGCGATGGGAGACGGCCAATTGGGCACCCCACCCCGCCCTCCATCTACCTCCTCCTCCCTTTCTATAAAGTCCCTCGTGAGATGACAGAAGAGATATAGGCAAGGGTGATAAGAGAAATGTGGACACGATATAGACGGTGTGCATTTAAATGAGATGCGGATGTATGTTTGTTGAACTTCTTTCGCACCGTACGAGGGCCGGCCGTGCTAATCGGTGAGACAAATATCGTGGAAAGGGAGAGATGCAGACTAGAGACAGGGGTGTGAGAGGAGAGCTGCGGACGAGTTAAATATGAGAGATTAATTTGTTTTAAAGTTGATTGGCGCTTTTGAGACTTTTTTATTGGATTGCTCGTCAGGATTATATGAATTCGGGGCTCCTTTAGTCGCTTGGGGCTTCGTGTCCCTGCCGTCTAGCGCCGCCACGGGACACGGGCCTGGGTAGGTGACGAGTGGAGAGCGGTGGATTGATTGTCGGTGCATCGTACTCGGTGTGGTATCGACACGTGGATCGTAGGGACGTGGGTCAGGTGTGAATGTGGCGAAAGAGGCGACGCCAGAAACATTGACGCGGTCGAGAATGACAGACGGCGAGAGAGAGAGGCATGCCTATAGAGACACACAAGGAGACATACAGGGAGACGGACACGGAGAGAGGGGCTGAGGCACTGACATATAATGACAGGGAATTTAGGGTTCTTAGTTTGGCCTCTGACCAAATCACCCAGAATGCGCACGATCTCGTCAGATCTCGACAGCTAAGCAGGTTTAGGCCTGGATAGTGTTATAATCGGTTACCACAATACAGTTCATAAAAGTGGAATGCCGCAGAGCTACGTTATGGGCAGCAGAGGGCGGTGCAACAAAATCCATTGTACTGTCTAAACCGCCAGACTTCACCAATCAGCACCTACCAACTGGTGAAGAATGCAAAATGGGACCTTTTTGTCAGTATCAAAGTATGAAAAAGTAAGAATAGGTTTTACCCTTTCTGGCAATAAAACAGGTGTTAAGATGTCCAAACACCATATAGAAACCTTTTTGCAAGGAATCAAGCCGGCATTAACCACAACCTCCATCTCTCGCCGTAGGTTGGCAAAAGGGCTGTATGAATATTCGTGTCTGGTGGCGTGACGCGAGTACAGTGGCTTGCAGAATTTTTGCAAAGCACGTCACTTAACTACAGACATTGAACTGTTGTGGGAGTCGAACTGTCAACCCTATCTATGCAGTACATACTAACTGGCTCAACAATGAGCTCACTTACATTTCGGCCCGAATCTAGCCCACCTTAATAAACGGCATCAATATAAACTGGTCATGTTCACCACTTAAGTTGCTATGCCTGTGCCTCCTCCTCACTCTCCTCCTCCAACCTCCCTCGCTGCCGCCTTCCCCAACGCAGAGCACTTCCACATGTACTCGGAGCAGCTGATCAAGCCGCTGATGCAGACGCTGACGCACCAGCACTCGCGCGTGCGCGTTGCCGCCGTGCTCACAACAGGCGCCGTTGTGCGCTACGGCAATAACAAGTCCGTGAACGACGCACTGCCCCACCTCGCGCAGCGCCTCTTCGACGACGCCTCCACGGTAGGCATACGGCTACCACCGGTTTCTAGGGAGGCTCAACCGGGACACGTGTTGAGCTTTGGTTGGCCTGTGTGGCAAGATAACACGGTGGTTTCCGTATGGATTTACCTGTATTTAATCCTGCTATAGGATTGTGGAATTTCTACGACTGGTGCAAAAAACACAAGCGCATTTGATCACAGCCGCTTCATCGTTTGGGCATGGGTACACATTGACTGGAATGTAAAGCAGCCGAATTGTTTTGGGCAGTGGCAGTTCTTCAGGACAGATAATGATGTGAAGTCAGAGGATTGTGACTCAAGGTTTTGGGGATGGTGTTGCAGTCATAGGTTGCCGAACGAACACATTATAAGGTCGCACTCATTGGACACAAAGTGCTTGCCACAAATGAATCACAATAGTTAAATTTTGATTTAAAGCTTTCGTGACTGCAGGGATTCATCTTCTTGGTTCTTTCGGTAAAGTCACGTAGAAGGGAAGTAATAAAATAATAAAAATAAAACATAATAAAATTTTATTATGTTTTATTTAAAGTCACGTAGAAGGGAAGTAATAAAATAATAAAAATAAAACATAATAAAATTTTATTATGTTTTATTTTTATTATTTTATTACCGAAAGAACCAAGAAGATGAATCACAATAGCTTTCGGATCTCATCAAGAAGCATAAACCATCACGTTAATTCTGGTCATCCTCGAAGCGGCTTTTGGATAACCATCGAACAAAGACGGTCACCGCATCACGCGCTTTCAGATGCGCTTCTGCGGCCGTCTGGAACGCTCTTCCTTCCATTATTAGGAATCCACCGAAGCTATGCACTTTTAAATCTAGGTTGAAAACGCATTTCTTTAAAACTGCTTGTTGTGTTTAGTTTTATCTATGGGACCTTTTGCCAGTATCCAAGATGATGAAAAATAAGAATAGGTTGTACCCTTTCTGCCAATAAAACAGGTGTTAAGATGTTCAAACACCAAATAGATACCTTTTGCAAGGCATCAAGTCTGCATTAGCCACACATACTTGTGACAAATCATACAGGTACGCCAGGCGGTGACGGACTGTGGTGGGGACCTGGTTGCTGGAGCTGCCCGACCGCTACTCATTCTTCCACAAGCTTATCCCGCTGCTGCTGAGCAGCCTGAGTGACGAGATGCCTGATGTACGGTTAGTGCTGCTCATTCGAATTCTCGATTTCCCTGTTCAGTTCTGCTTTTTTCTTGCAAAAATACAACCATTGGAAAACCTTGGTTTACAGTTGGGCATGTTGGAATTATGTCATGTGAACTGCTAATCATCATTGTTATTATCATCATCAGCATTGTCATAATCACCATCATGAGTAGCAGCAGGAGCAGTGGTATGCACGCTGCGGCACGAACCCGGCGACTTGATATCAGAACTAGGCCTCCCCTAGGATAACTCAGCCTTAAATGAGTCCGTGTTGCAGTGTGTACACATCAAGACTAGGGGGACAAATGGTGTAGTTTTGGCTGCTGCCGTGCCGGCTTTCGTAGGTGCCTGCTAATAGCTTTTGCCACAACAGTCTACATGGCGTTAAAGTGATCTTTGTGTATACGCGTGTGTGCTGGACACGCCTGCATGTTTGCTTGCGGTTATATTTACAGAAACTCTGCGACCGAATACTGGAAGAGAGTCGGGAAGCAGTGGGAGCACGAGAATGAGGAGGACCTCAAAGACAAGATGGATTTTGAGTTTCCTCCATCATCCCTCTACCCAGCAGGAGGTTAGAGCTCCTCACAGTCTTTGACAGGAGTTGTGATCCAACACGCCTTAAGTGCTAAGCAGAGTTCATAGCTTGTGCCGTTCCAGGAGAAATGGCGGAGATTCTGGGTTTAAGGATACCGGTAGTCACTTAACCCAGTTGTTGATAGCAGTGGCAAATCATTCTCAGCATATGTTAGGGTCTCATAATTGTATCGCCCTTGGAAAGATTACACAAATAAATAAAATGAATAGTTCATACCTTACAATACATCGGTTACATATATATGTATGTATTTTGAACGTCTTTCCCACCGTACATAGCCAACAGTGCTAATCGGAGGTGTGGGAGAAGGACGAAATTATTTAGAGAAAGATGCAGTCAGTCATAGGCAGCGGGAGATAGAGGATTTAAGCCTGGACTTGAACAGGGACAGGGAGTTGACAGCACGAATGACTGGGGGAAGGGAAATTCCAGAGGACATGCCTATGCTGTATGTTCACGAGTTTAAAGCTTCATTAGCATTTGTTAGGCTTCCTTAAGATTAGATTATAGCACTCTCCTCATGTCACTTTGACACCTCTGTGCATTCAAATTTAATGTCACTACAGTGGCATGACTTGGGTGCTTTGATGCTCCTGACTAAGTTTAAACAAAGCATCAGCCTCATGGTCGACAGCCTGGGAAACAAATCCTGAGTATATATGAAGACTTTTAAGGAGTGTATTGCATATTGTGATGCACTTGTGTCCTTGGAAGAAAAAAAACCTGCAAAAGGAAAACAATTGTCAATACATAAAAAGTTGGTCACCTCATAGTCTGGGTGGGCTTGGGGCTGTCACGAGTATGTATGTTGAGCTTCTTTCGCACTATACATAGCCAACCGTGCTATTCAAAGGTGCGGGGTGTGTAATCCACCAATCGTGTCCTCCGAAAAAGAAGCAACCCCCACCCAGCGCCCCATCGAATGTAGGTTGACTAGCAGCAGAGAGAGACTAACTGAATGGGCAGTTCGTTCATTTTGTTTCATATCCTCACTCCGCTCAGCCAAACGTGTCTTTTGGTCGAGCTGTCATTTGTGGCCTGGTTGCTTCTGAAAAATAAGTTAATACCTCAGTGGGCTTTGCCTGGTAGGATGGGGATGGTTTCAGTTTTATTTGTATGTTTTTGGGTGATTTGTTTGCCTTTGCTGTCCTTTGCACCATTATTGTCTTCTTGGTTCTTTCGGTAGTAGGGGGGGTCTCAAAGTCATATTACCTACACATTCCACAAGTAGTGACTAATCCCATATCTGCATTTTCCATAATATGCTAAATTCCTCTGTTGATATGTAAATTCCTTTGTCAAGGCGCCCTCCTCCTCTAACCCAGCTTAAATATACGCTGCCAAGCTTGGTGGTGTTCATTCGGACGCTGTCTTTCCGACAGCCCTATTATTCACCTGAGGACGGCTGCTTGCATTGTGGCCGAAACGTCGTGAGAATTTTATTTTATTATGTTTTATTTTTATTATTTTATTATTTCCCTTCTACGTGACTTTACCGAAAGAATCAAGAAGATGAATCCCTGCAGTCACGAAAGCTTTAAATCACTATTGTGTTTTTTGCATAGTTTTGTTGTTGTAACGTTGTTACCTATCCCTACTGAATATCTGTGAAAAAGAGCTTTATAGCTCATCGGATTCCTCCAGGATAAATAAACTGTTCCCATTCTGATTCTGAAGTGGAGCGGACCGTGCCTGGGCTGCCGAGAGCTGGTGCAGCGCAACCTGTCGCGGGTGCTGCCGGCGGTGGCACGCGACGCCGGCGACTGGGTGGTGGGCACGCGTACCAAGGCGTCGCAGCTCCTCGTGTGGCTGATGGTGCACGCCGAGGATCACGCGACGCAGCACGCTGAGCTACTGGTCGCCACGCTGCACCGAGCCTGCGCCGACGATGAGCCACAAGTAGTGAATAACGTAAGGCGAAGATGGTCGCTGCGTTACGTGCTTTCAAGATGCGCATCTGCGGCCATCTGGAACGCTCTTTCTTTCAATATTAGGAAGCCACTGGAGCTGGTCACTTTTAAATAATCTAGATTTAAAACTCATTTCTTTACAACTCCTTTTTGTATTTAGTTTGTTGTCCTTCCGCCGCACCTCCGATTAGCACTGTTGTCTTCGTAGGGTACGAAAGAAGTTCAACGTGCATACCGTTGATATTGAAATAATAGAGTAATACCTCGTTATTTGCCAGGGATACGTTCCGGAGCTAATGAATTACCTTAAATACAAAATTAAGCTTTCTCTCTCATCACTTTTTTCTCATCTCTTTACCTCATTACTTTTTGTCATCACATTCTCTCGCATCACATTTATCTCTTGACTTTCTCTCTCGATGCAGTCGTGTAGAGTTCCAGATGCAAATCACGGAGAGCCAAGATCGCGGATAGCAAGTTCGTGAATAACGAGGGAATACTGTATTAATAAGTATTTACAGCCATTAATCAGTTCAATAAAGGAAAACTACATCAGCAGAATTAGAATTGTATTTTTTATAGCATGAGTCATGCTAATTGCATCTCATATCACTGTAAAAAAATGTATATCCATAATCACACAGAGGGAAAAATCCTATTTATAACAATTGATATGTAAATGAAAACCCTACGTACAGATTTAAAAACACTCCGCGTATAAAGCAAGTGAGCTGGGTGCGGGCATGCAGGCCGTGCGTTCGGCGGAGCTGCTGGGCGCTTTCGTGAACCCGGAGGTGTTCTGCAAGCTCGCCCTACCGGCGCTGCACCGCTCGCCTTCGCCAAGCCACCTTGCGCCGATCTCCGCGTTCATACGTGGCTCCTCTGCCGAGCTGCTGGCACCACACGTGGCCTCCATCGCAGACGCACTGGCGCACCCTGACGTGGCGCAGGCATCCGAAAAGGTGAGCCCCCCCCCCCCCCACCCCGACGCATGCCGTCAGCTGGGTTTTAATCGCGCGTAATCATTATATTATTACACTTATAAGTGTGATGATTTATAGCCCTCTGCTGGATGAAGGCCTCCTGTCACCATGTCGGTCATGGGAGTTGTTTGACCGTACTTTACCACGCCAGTTTGTGAAAGGGTGGGATCGAGTCCGGTCTGTCAAGGCTACACAAGGGATCTGTGTCTTTGTCTTGACTGCACCACAGGTCGTGTACCACCAGGAGCTGGTGACGTGTGTACAGGCGCTGGTGTCCACGTGTGGGGAGCAGTGTCGCAACGTCACCTTCCAACTTCTGCAGCTACTGCTCAGCAGCTCCGCTCTGTGCGGAGAGTCCAGCCTCCAAGCACAGGTGTGTACTCTCGTATACAATCCTTGGTCAAAAATACACTGCTGGATAAGAGGCCCCCCCCCCCACATGTCATGGGGGCTATAGTGACAAAATGTCACTATGCTCGTTATTGCAGGTTGGTGTAGTTGGGCACCCAGGACGAGTTGAGATATCATTCGCCACTAATGTCAGCCATGGGTGGGAATCAAATTCACTCCACACCGCTCTAGGTATGCGTCTATAATCTAACAGCCATTTATGTTTTTGGTAACGTCTTCCCCAACATATAAATAAAACTATTTAAACTAAAAAAATTTATTTTACCAGGTAAGGCCCACTGAGCTGTATAGCTATTTTTCAGAAGCGTCCTGGCCACAAATGATAGCTCAACGAAGTGGCTTATGACATGTAAATTTATAACAACGAAATACTCTCAATGTATGTTTCTAAATGCGGATGGAAAAACTGGAGGACCTGAAGAAAAATTCATACAACCACAGGGAGAGAGACACGCAAACTCCACAAATATGCAGGCGTCAGGATCGGAATCGAACCCACGACCTCCTGTACATCAGGCAAGGTAGTTAACATCTCGCCACCGTGGCACTCCAGATAAGGGAGTGGGATGAATGGACGAGTGAACAACGGAGTGAATGGACTAAATTTCGATTTAAAGCTTTCGTGCCTGCAGGGATTCATCTTCTTGGTTCTTTCGGTAAAGTCACGTAGAAGGAAAATAATAAAATAATAAAATAATTCTCACGACGTTTCGGCCACAACGCAAGCAGCCATCTTCAGGTGGAGAATAGGTCTGTCGAGAAGGCAGAGTCTGAATGCCTTCTCGAGAGACTTGTTCTCCACCTGAAGACGGCTGCTTGCGTTGTGGCCGAAACGTCGTGAGAATTATTTTACTATGTTTTATTTTTATTATTTTATTATTTTCCTTCTACGTGACTTTACCGAAAGAACCAAGAAGAGTGAATGGACGTCGAGACGTTGGGGGGGGGGGTGGGGAGTGGTGGTTCAAAGGTGAGGCGGGTCCTCCTTGCCCGCTGCAGGTGCAGGAAGCAACGCGTGGCCTCACGACCGCTGCAGGCTTCGAGGGCCCTGCCGCGCTCCTACGTGCGCACATGCGGCCGCTGCTCGCGTGGCTCGGTGGCTCGAGCCAGCAGTGGACGAGCCATGCTGTGGAGCGGCTCATCTTTGACACCTTGCTCTTCCAAGCTGGTGAGATGAAAACGACTGATGATGATGATGATGACGGAAATTAAAATGATAGTGATGATTGTGGACTTACAGACCTTTTGTCGATCCGCCTGCTGGATGAGGACCTCGCCATGCCATGTCGGCCAAATAACCCTCTTGATGTTATTTGGAAAGAGAACAAGAGGATTGACAACTTGGAGTGTGGGCCACACGAGCAAATTATGAATAAATATTAAGATCAGACAGAATGGAGGGTGTGTGAGCCCAAAGACCTGCCAATAGTTTTACCACTTGCCATCTGTCTTTTTGAACAGGTCCTATGGTCGGTGAATTCCTGCCAGAGGTAATGCCGATATTCCGAGACCTCCTGCAGTCCAACAAGGAGCCAGAGCTGAGACTGAAGGTGTTTGCTGTCCTCTCGAAACTGCTGCTAAATGCACAGGAGACTGTGAACTCACAGGGGTGAGTTTACACGAGAGTCCTTATGCACACAGTCTATATGCAGAGGGTTTAATAACTGCCGTTGAATTGGCACCTGTATGATACAGCCTCATCGGGCAGTGCTTTAACAAAGGGTGAAGCCAGTAAAACAGTTGACATGTAGGGTAGCAGGCAGGTATGTAGCAATTCACCCTCCCCTCAGTTGGATGAATTACCACGATTTGATTCAAGAATTTGTCATATTTTGTTATTTTCACGCGTGATTTGATGCATGTATTGTGAATATGAAAACTTAATTTGAATCAATGAGTCAATCATTGTGTGTGTTTTTTGTTGTGGTACTATGCATCACTAATGACGAAGCCTCCAATTGCAGCTGCCATGCCCCTTCGCTGGAAAGCGTTTTTAATGCCATTTGTTAATGCAAGTTCCTTCATGTGCTGCAGGCAGTTCGCTGGGTTCCTGCAGGAGCTCATCAAGGAGATGATAGTTCCAAACCTGGTGTGGCACGCAGGCCGCACGGCCGCGGCCATCCGCACCACGGCCGTGTCTTGCCTGTGGGCCCTGCTGCATGGAGGCATGGTCACCCCAGAGCAGGTGAGTGGGTGGCAGGGCAGGCGAGTGGGTGGCAAAGCAGGCGAGTGAGTGGCAAAGCAGGGAGCAGCTGCTGATGAAGCTGATGCTGCTGCTATTACTACTATTGATGAATGATGATGGTGGATGAAGCGATGAAAGATGATGTTGAGAATGATCAACGATGACAAGATGACATTGACTCCGTGTTGGCGCAGTGCTCACTGTGTCCCGTCATATCAGCCCAGCAGGCTCGCCGGACCCAGGTCATCCCACCCGATGCCTCCACTCGCTCACCCACTCACCCACCTACCCAGTCACTCACCGAACCACTCCCCCGCCCACCCACTTCCCCGCCCACCCACTTCCCCATGCACCCACTTCCATGCACGCACTTCCGCACGGTGCCGACGAAGGTGCGCCCCTGGTCTCCCGTGCGCGTGCAGGCGAGCGCCGTTAGTGGCGAGCTGCTGCCCCAGGCGGTGGCGGTGCTGGATGAGGACTCCAAGACGTCGCGGCTGCTCGCTTGCCGCGCACTGCGCATTCTGCTGCAACTGCTGAGCGAGAAGGGCTGCGACGCTGACGCCCTCAACAAAATATACCCAGGTCGGCGTGGCCACGATTGGCCGGAGGAGTAAGGATGGGTTGGCGCAATCGCCAACCAACTAGCCCCGCTTGGGCGAGACGTTAAATGTGTTTACTATCAAGTGGGTCAAGTGGGTCAGGTGTCGCAGTGTTTTGTAGGTGCACACCTGTAATCCACAGCTTGGGGTTGGAAATTAATAAGGGGTGCTGCTTGCATGATACGGGAATGACAACTACATGTGGCATGCTTCCCAATAGACATGTGGCACATTTTCCCACGGTTGATTTTGCCCTCCAGGTTTTGTGAGCATGTAAATATATGTTTACGTGGATAGTGGTGGTGTAATGGTAAGCACATTGCGCACTATGCCCAGCGACCTGGATTTGCTTAACAGCACCTGCCCCAACAGTCTATTCAAGACTATACAGGCGGGGGTATCTTTGCGTCTGTGTTGTCAACTTAGAGGTGCTGAAGCGCCTGGATGACGCTTCGGACGAGGTGCGAATTGCAGCCGCGCGTTGCCTCTCGGCGTGGTTCGGTTGCGTGGGCGGCGACTACGACCGGGGCCTCTACCGTGCCCACCTCGAGTTCCTCTACCGTGGACTCCTCGTGCACCTCGACGACCCCGATGCCGGCATCCAGGCCGCCGTGCTTGGTGAGACACTCGTTTACTCGCTCCCTTGCTCATGCACGAAACCCTTTCCCATTTCGAGACTTGTGCAAGTTTCAGGATGGGTGTCCCGTTCACCTCTGAATCTCGGGACGCGCACTTGTTTAGCGTTAATGTCATTTAGAGAGGTGTGCCGTTCTTTTTAAAGACATTGTACCCACCGCAGATAACTATAGTGACATTGCCGCAACTGTACGATAGCTGGCACCAAAATATGCCACACCCTCCCGCATGGCCTTGTGGGAGCCTCGGTATCGATAAATATATTTTATTTTTTCTTCCAGTAAACTTACGTCATCAGAATGGGATAGGGTTAATCACTCACCTTTATGTATTTGCTTGCTCACTCCCTTGTGCTCACTCTCACTTGCGCAGGCGCTTAATCACTCACTCTCATGTGTTTTCTCACTCGCTTGCTCACTCACACAGGTGTTCACTCACTCTCATGTACTCGCCTCGCTCAATCAATTACGCACACACATTCACTGATGTCCTTACTCGCTCACTGGCACTCATGCTCGCTCCCTCACATGCTCGCTTGCCTACCCATTCTTTCACTTCCTTGCTCAATAATGCTCGCTTCACTCACTAGCTTTCTCATGCACTCACTCATTCCCTAACCCACCCACGTATCATCTGCACGTTTACTCACTTATTCACTTTCCCACTCTCCCACTCCCTCTGGAGTACTTGGACAAAACACATTTTCTGTCCTGCCATCTGCTAGTGACCAATAGTTTCCCACCAAACACACTTGTTCATATCCTTGCATTTAGAGGTCGTGCAAACCCATGGTAAGTTTCATAGCGAAATATTTTGTGTCGCTGGTGTTGCACTTTTTGTAAAGAGGTAGTGAAAAGTCATAAACACAACAGGCTGTTTTGATTTTTGTCGGGGCCCGACAAAGCCTCCCATTGATTGTCAACTTTCATCTGTGCCTTGGCACAGGGAGCTTCATTCATTCACCATGAATTACTGCGATATGCATTTAGTCTAAGGCTTTGGCCTGTCCTGCGGTTTAACGTGGAATGCCGCTAAAGATTATGAGCTGCTTTCAACACCGAAGAACAAAGCACACATTCATTCACGCTGGTGTTGCCATTTAGCAATTTATGCGCAGAATGTTTGGCAAAAAACAACAATCACAATATGGGAGTAAGTATAAACACAGCAAAACCATTGATGCCAACCACGCAGAACAGAGCTCCGCAACCGATGAATCTTCGCTTTACAACAGCAGGCAGCTGGCCATTATTGCATCAGTGTCTCGTTAAGAGGAACGTTGAGCAATTTGAATTTAATATTTTTCAATAATTGTGGATATAACCATTAACTCTTTGTTCATTATTGCACTAAGTATTGTCCTATGGAGTGGAAAAATCTGCTTTGTCTAAATTGACCTCAATATCACTCGATTAAGTCTGTCAGAAATGCAGATGCCTTCATTGTAAACTGAACTTTGAACATTTATTCTATGGGTCTTTCGGTAAAGCCACGTAGATAGAAAAATAATACAAATATCACGACGTTTCGATCGCAACACAAGCAATCGTCTTCAGGTGAAAAAATACAGCTATGAATTATGTTACTCGATCATATCCACTGTAATGCATGAACATAAGGCTTCACGGCAGATGAGTCGGCCACATTCAGGGCATAATTAAATAAGATTCGTAGGTTTAAATGACACATCAGTCAATATTTAAAGTATGTCCGACAAGAATTCCATCTCTTGACATGCAATGCACACTGACATTGGCGAAACACTTGGGTTAGAGAACATGTTGGAAGTAATATTGACTAAAGAAAAGTGAGCTTAGGCAGGGCATTGATGATGGCCAGTCGTCGAGACTAACGACGGAGTGGTAGCTATAGGAGTAAACACTTGAAAGATCATCCACCGCCGAGATGGAGCTCCTGTGCAGGAGTTGGATGGATTGTTGTAGTGCGAGACCGATCTTTATTTAGACTGGAGGAATCCGATGAGCTATGAAGCTCTTTTTTTAATATTGTCTTAAAACGCGAACGCTCGCTTGCAAATTGAACCGTGGAACTGTTTTGTTCAGCTGAGCGATCCTCCGCGAAATGTAATGAGTCGGCCTCATGCTTGGAGTGAGTGTGTGCGCGAGTGGAATTTAAATAACAGTACATTATTTGTGTTCCGACTTACGGGACCATTCGACTTATGAATGAGTCTCAGGAATGAATTGTGTTCGTAAGTCGAGTACTATATATATATGAGTACAAATTGCAAAAAGTATATTCATTCCTCATAATCAACGTCTTTGGGTTAGATCGCGTTATATATAAATGTGTCGTAACCCTCCACCACCCGACACGGCCACTCAGCAAAAAAGTGGCACGTTGACAAAAGACAAATAGTTCACTGCTTTAGCCCACCGGTGTGTTGAAGCGTGAAACCACAACATTAACAATTTTTGAGTACGACGTTTCGCTGGTAATTGCATCCAGCATCATCGGGCAATTCGCCAGAATATTCATTCCTGCTGTTTTTTCAACAATAAATGTGAGCCTGGGCAAGGCAGCAAAACAACAACAACTGTCCCAAACCACAGTAAGACAACCACACACAGTCCCTCAATAATGATGCTGTATGTGGCCCGGCGTTGGGCCTTTCTCATCGCCATGCTGGGCCGTGGGCCTCTCACGACCGCCATGCTTGTGGGTCACAGACGTGCTGAAGCAGGGCGGCCGCGTGAGCCCGGAGCTGCTGCAGCAGGAGGTGGAGGCCGTGAAGCACAAGCACCGCTCGCCGCTGCACTGCGACGCCCTCGTGCAACACCTGCAACACCTGCCGCACTGCACTTTCACGTGACGGCGCCGTTCGCCCCTCACTCGCACACCTTGCTTTGTGTCTGCACAGACCCACAACTGCTTTTACACCTGCATGCACAGCCAAACGCCGACACACATCTGATCGCACAGCAGTATGCGCCTACGTCTCCACACTTGCCCACAAAATAGATCCCCGGTATATCCTTAGACTGTTGGGAAAAGTTCTGTTAGCGAGCACCTATGAAGGCCGGCACGGTACATGAGGCGGTGGGTGGCCAACACCACGCCCGACCGCCTTTGTCTCCCCAGTGGCGATGTTTACACACTGCACCAGGTACTCATTTGAGGCTGAGTTGACCTAGGGGAGGAGGCCCAGGACCGGTTCATATTGTTACTGGTGGTGGCCGCTAGCGGGAATTGAACTCGAGCCATCGGGTTCGTAGCGCCGAGCGCGAATCGCTGCTCTACCACTGCCCACAACACCTTCCAACACATCCATACACCTGGTCCTCACCCCCAAACACTTGTACGCACATTGGCATCAGTTGCAAAGGTTGGTTGCTCGTTGGTGGCTGATCGCTCTGTTGTGCCATGTCCCCTTCTGCAATTCGTTTGAATATCAAGTGAATGAGAACAGTTGTCAACAATTCTACTTCATGTAATTAAGCAGTTTGGAGTCCGTTAATATGCTTATTTTATAAAGAGGACTTACTCTTATTGTTATATTGAGAGTGTTTTTTGTGTGTGAATTTATAAATTGGTAGTGATTTCATTCTATTACATGCCCATGTGATTGGCATTGCAAAGTGCTTCATGCCCTATTCACAGTTTTGGCATAGTACTGTGCACCTGAGATGGGAATTAAACGATGTAATGCCTGGTTCAGTAGTGAACACTCCAATCCATCCTAAATTATTTTTAAAGAATGAAAAAGAAATACGTGCCTCTTATTTTTCGTTTTACTAATTGCGCTGCACTGCCCCGAATGCAATACAGACATTAGTTTTGCAAAGGGGTCAAATGCAAAACAACAACAGCAAGTAAAGCTATATGGAAAGAATGTAATATAGAAGTTGACTTTTTAAGCGTGGTGTGCGTGACTGAATCTGCAGTTATATTTGACATCTCAGTCATTTACTAAGTGGCAGTTATGTTTGCATTTTTAATAATTCACAAATAAACGTTTACTGTGAGAAGTGTTTGTGCTTTTGCTCTTCGCGTTTGGGTTTAAACTCGGGGCACGGAATCCAAAATTCGTGGATTAGTCAAAGTGAACTTCAGCAAGTACGGATTTGGACGTCACTGAACCATGCTTCACTACACTCGTCAGTGGGTTTGAAGGAGGGGAATGTCAACGTTGATGCGGTTTAACACGTAAGCTTACGTGATCAGTATCCATAATAGAGGTTTTTGGGTTAGGTCGCGTAAATATAAATGTGCTGGTAAACCCGCCACCACCCGACCAGAGCCAATTAGTAAGATTTGTCATGTTAACAAAACGTGCCAATTTAATACAATTCGTGCTCGAATTCGCACACGAACTGTATATGTATCGTGGGTTTACTCTCCAACACACGGGTGTGCTTTACTCGTAACAAACTGGCACGTTTGTTGACGTGGCAAACCTTGCTAATTGGCTGTGGTCGGGTGCTTGTGGGTTTAACGACACAATATTTATATTTACGCGATCTAACCCAAAAACCTCTTTGATAACGGCGCATTGTCCAGGATGGATGGTCCAGATGTTTTGTGACCCCCCCCCCCCCCCCATTAAATGACCTCGAACCTTTTTTTAACGTTAATTTTTGTATTCACATCCATTGAGATACAGACATTAAGTTTTAGAGAATGAAATGGAATTATCAGACATCTGGACCGCCCTGTACCTGCCGTATTGTACAACTATATCTGCGCCGACAATCTTAAGTAATACGGGCAGAGCAGAACAGAATTTACGGGTTTTCAACACAAGATAGCCCCAAAGCCATTCAAAGTACGTAAATGGATCATCTAAACGCAACAAACGATGTCAACTGATCGAGCCCTCCGTAATGGGTGGTCCAGATGTCGTCTGACCCCTCCACCCCAATTAATTGGCCCCTGGTGGTGGTTTGTTTCTCCCTTTACATATTCATTTTTTTTTAAATAAACCTTACTTAAAAAACAAAAAAAGTTAAAGATAATTGGGGGGGGGGGGGGGGGGTCACAAGACATCTGGCCCACCCTGTACGGTACTCTATAACGGTGGTGCTCGAGTGCTGGCGAGGTGGCGACCGCTCCACCCCCCCCGCGCGCGCGACTACGCCACGGCACGTGGTGGGCACGTGGTGGGGGGGCACGTGGGGGCGTGGGGGGGGGGGGCACGTGGGGGGGGGGGCACGTGGTGGGGTGCCACGCACGTGGGGGGTGCCACGCACGTGGGTGGTGCCACGTGTTTTTTTTGTTTTGACCGCTTGAGTCGCCTCCAACCGTTTAATGGGAGCCCACGCAAGGCACCGGCGCCGGACACTGCCGTGAGTGTTATCGTCGCTTATTCACGATTCAGGGATGTTATTAACGGGCGGCTTAATTGAATACGTGAACTAAATGCCAGTGGTGGCCGAGGTTGCGTCCCGTGTGTCGACGGGTCTCAGGAATTGAAGTTTGTTTCAGCCCAGGGGAGAACTCAACAGGACGGGGGACAGTCTTAGTTTGCGAGAGTGATCCGGGGACATGTGTCCGGCCACGAGTGCCGTGTTGTGTGATCCCAATAGAATCATTTGGGGTGTAACGATTTTATTTTATTTTAGAATTCGGGAAAAATGTTGGACCGTGAGGCCGGCAAGTGGCCTTGCGAATGGCAGTCAGTGTGAGTCTTTAAACGTCCACTGTGTGTGAGAGAGAGAGACGGCGACAAGTGCAGTCCTGTATTGTGCCGTGGTTATTACACGAGCAGTAAGTAATGACCAGGGCGGCCGCAGGATTTCGAACCGTGACGCTATATCGATTATGTCCATCTCAAGGCTATTTTACGCGATCGCTGCCGTCGTCATAAATTAAGAGGGTACGTTGCATGCTCAGTGTGCAATCTATTCGATCTGTCTTGATTAAATTACACTTTGTGTGTGTTTTTTTTATCATAACGTTCGTTTATCAATTCGGTTAATTCGTTTGGGAGGCGAGCTCGCCGTGCGTGATGACGTGCCTCCCAGCGAACGTCACCGCGCATCGAGCGTGCTGACGTCATCGCGCATCGAGCGTGCTGACGTCATCGCGCATCGAGCGTGCTGACGTCATCGCGCATCGAGCGCGATGACGTCATTGCGCACGGTTGTGGGGCGGGCGGGGGAGTCGTGAGCGACGACACGGAATTCAAACGTCCCGCGTGACGTCACGACGCACGCCTTAGCAGCCGTGCGTCGTGACGTCAACGCGCTCACGGGGTGACGTCACGACGCAGAGGGCCATTTGGACGTGCGGCTTCCCAACGCAGCTGGGCCGACGTGGGCGCAGCCGCCGCCCTCCCCGCGTTTTCTTAAATTTCGTTTTTTTACAAAAAGGAATTTCGAGAGAGAGAAAAAAAATAAACATTTACACGGCGGGCTGCAGTTCAGTCTTGCCGACTGTGTAGAAGAAGTAAATTAGATTTGGAGTTACCGTAAACATTGTTTAAATTTGACAGATCGCAAGTGCAGCGGACCAAGCCCCCCCCCCTTCCCCTCGTCTTCATTGAAACCGATCGCATGCAAGGTCCTCTCTTTGCTTTACCTTTTAATTAAGGATTTGTTTTGTTATTGTTACGAACGTTATCATAGCTTCGCCGAAACCTTGGCAGAGGGAGAGTTTAAATGCGTCTGTGATGTTGCTGCTGCTGCTTTGTTGTGTGCGTGCTGAGCGCGAGATTTAAACGCGAGTTTTTAAAATTCATGTTCATTTTCCATCCTTGTTTGTTGACCTTTTGTTGGTTATATTGCCGTTTGTTATTGTTGCTATTGCTGGCATTGTCATTGTACCAACGAAACAGGAGGATTTCTCCACAAATCTGGCTGCCGCCTGGTGAGGCCGGTTGTAATTACTGGCGAAACGTCGGACTCGGATTGTAAATGTTGTGGATTTGTTTTCCAACACACCGGTGTGCTGTACTAGTATACTACACTATACATTAGTGCTGTACTAATACACTACACTATACACTGCACACTAGTGCTGTACTAGTATACTACACTATACACTACACACTAGTGCTGTACTAGTATACTACACTATATACTATACTGTACACTACACACTAGTGCTGTACTAATACACTATACTATACACTACACACTAGTGCTGTACTAGTATACTACACTATACTATACACTACACACTAGTGCTGTACTAGTATACTACACTATACACTAGTGCTGTACTAATACACTACACTATACACTACACACTAGTGCTGTACTAGTATACTACACTATACTATACACTACACACTAGTGCTGTACTAGTATACTACACTATACACTACACTACACACTAGTGCTGTACTAGTATACTACACTATACACTACACACTAGTGCTGTACTAGTATACTACACTATATACTATACTGTACACTACACACTAGTGCTGTACTAATACACTACACTATACACTACACACTAGTGCTGTACTAGTATACTACACTATACTATACACTACACACTAGTGCTGTACTAGTATACTACACGATACACTAGTGCTGTACTAATACACTACACTATACACTACACACTAGTGCTGTACTAGTATACTACACTATACTATACACTACACACTAGTGCTGTACTAGTATACTACACTATACACTACACTACACACTAGTGCTGTACTAGTATACTACACTATACACTACACTACACACTAGTGCTGTACTAGTATACTACACTATACTATACACTACACACTAGTGCTGTACTAGTATACTACACGATACACTAGTGCTGTACTAATACACTACACTATACACTACACACTAGTGCTGTACTAGTATACTACACTATACTATACACTACACACTAGTGCTGTACTAGTATACTACACTATACACTACACTACACACTAGTGCTGTACTAGTATACTACACTATACACTACACTATACACTACACACTAGTGCTGTACTAGTATACTACACTATACACTAGTGCTGTACTAGTATACTATGCTACACTATTATACACTACACACTAGTGCTGTACTAGTATACTACACTATACTATACACTACACACTAGTGCTGTACTAGTATACTACACTATACACTACACACTTGTGCTGTACTAGTATACTACACTATACACTACACACTAGTGCTGCACTAGTATACTACACTATACACTACATACTAGTGCTGTACTAGTATACTATACTACACTATACACTACACTACTATACGCTACACTATTATACACTACACACTAGTGCTGTACTAGTATACTACACTACACTATACACTACATACTAGTGCTGTACTAGTATACTACACTACACTATAGACTAGTGCTGTACTCGTGACGAATTGGCACGTTCTGTTTACGTGACAACCCTTACTAATTGGCTGTGTCGGGTGGTGGCGGGTTTAACGACACATTTATATATTGACGTGATCTAACCCAAAACATCTCTGTTATGGATGATATTGGACGTGAAAGCCTTTGCGTGTTAAACTTATCCTTGTCATTATAATTAGCAATGTTTTGTGACTTGTAAATAATGGAAGATGTTAGGATGAAGCTACGGCGTCTTTGATTTGAGAGACGCGAACCCGATAATCCTGGCCCTATCACATTGGTCAAATAAAGGATGTTGACAATTGGCATCGCTTTATCTGGGTTCTGGCTCACCCGATGCAAACAAAGGGCATTCGAAAGGCGTCCTTTCAGTGGGTTCGTACCAGGCCAAATGAAGGATTCGTTTACGTGTCTGTATTGTTTTAGATCAGAATCGGAATGTTTATTCTGGAGGAATCCGATAAGCTATCAAGCTCTTTTTCACAGATCTCCAGTAGGGGCAAGCGGATCAGAAAGTTCCAACAACCGATAGAAAAACACGGTAGGAGTGCTGCCAGAGTACAGGAAAGGTAAGACGCACATGACAAGAAAATAATAAAGTCACGCACAGTGAGCCTTCTCCCTCGGTTCACAGAGGACACAACATATTTTAAAATGTTGATATGCCCTAGAGGTGCGATTTAATGTTTAAGGGTGCTTGCCTTGTTAAATGACATTTTTTTAAATCCCATCGGCTCATATTTTCTCACACGTGGTTAAATATCGGACACTGATAAACGTAGTACTGCTTTGTTCTCTGGATGTAAATAAGACGCATTGTTTTCTCTTTCTCCTGTATTTTAAAGGAGGTTGGAGGTGCGTCTTATAATCCGGTAGGTGTGCGTAATGGATAGATACCTCGTTAAATAAAGGGGCATTTTGTTAAGGATGAAGGTTGAAAGTTGCAAAAGCACAGTCCTTGGTTTGAAATAAGTAATACATATTAGTTTAGCAATGCGGCTACACTCGGTTGTCCTGAGACACCCAGGTGTAAAGGGCGCACCTCTGATTACCACTGTTGGCTACGTATGGTGCAAAGGAAGTTCTACATGCCTACATTCAGTAGCAAAGCGAAACATCATTTGGGATTATTTTTTAGATGATTTTAGCGAGTAATTGTACTCTCCAATACACTGGTGTGCTGTCCTAGTAACGAATTGGCACGTTCTGTTTACGTGACAACCCTTACTAATTGGCTGTGTCGGGTGGTGGCGGGTTTAACAACACTTATATATTTACACGATCTAACCCAAAAAAACCTGTATTATGGATAATATTGGTCACGAAAGCCTACATGTTAAACTGATGCAGAGTGTTTGCAACATCGAATGGGAATGAGGTTTTGGTGGCCCTGCATCCGTGTTGGAAATTCCACATTTGAAGGTGTCAGTATCTTCCTCATTGGTAGTTGTGACAGACACTGGGGATGAAATCCAGGCAAACCGATTATGTTATGCATGTACGTGTGTATGTTGAACTTCTTTCATACCATACTTAGCCAACCGTGCTAATCGGAGAAAATAATATAAAAGAGATATTGTTAAAATATTTCATAAGTAATGCAAAAACGTAATTACTACAAATTATGGTTATCAACTTAATTACTAAAAAGAAAATTAATTAACTGCCCAGTCATGTTTTGGCGGAAGGGCAGTTCCCTATGATATTTAGCAGAAAACCTTATCTTGAGCACTTCACTTTTTTCTGCCAACTCAGCATAGATAGTTTGCACTGTGGACCAATGCATGAATCGGGCCCTTTTTGCAGAAAGCCAGCAAACAGTTTTATACCACAACAACAACAACATTCGAGCATAACTGCATAGTATGTAGAATATATTTTGAAAGTGTGAAAGTGTGCTGATGTGTGCGCGGAGAATGATTGCTAAAGGCCATAAGGGCCATGCACAAGCTCTTTGGCTGCGGGCAGCTCTTTCCTAACACCGCCGGTGCCCTTGTTCCCTTCATGGCGGGTTGAGTCACAGCGCGCGTTCGCCCGATCAGGCTTCCTGCCTCTGCCCGTGGCAAAACCCGCAGCAAGGACGCCATCCGAGTGCGCGCTGATAACGGGGGGCGCGCAAAACGGCACGTTTGCAGCACAAGCAGGCGACATGGCGCGCACGCCGACCAAACTGCTGCCTTACAGTCGTTAACCACAAGGAAGTTTAACTGAAGGGAGATTAGAACTCGTCCTACGCTGGAGTATGCACGCGTAGCACCGTTAACAGCTCGTGCACCACGCTGCTGAAGTGGCACTGTCGCTTGACCGCTCACCTGGTTTATAAAGAAAGCTTCTGTAGGTTATTTTAAAGTTGTAGTTTCTAGGTGCATGGGAATGATTTTGAAGTTGGGGGGGGGGGGCAAGTTGGCTCTGGAGACCCATGCTGTGTTACCAAGGGGTCCTTTGAAGTATGTGTGTATGTATGTTGAACTTTTTTTATGCACCGTACGTAGCCAACCGTGCTAATAGGAGGTGCAGGGGAAGGACAAGAAACTAAATAGACTGTTAATTGGTGGACCGCAGCTGGATTTCAGGATCAAATACTCACCGTGCTGCTCTTCATGCGCCTACACGCATGAAATGTCACCTTATTGTTCAAGCTCTTTTCATTTATTAGGCTGGTGTCTTCAGCACGACAAGGATGTTGAAAGTTTCCGAGGCATGGTTTTTTGTGTGTGTAATGTTTATTTATTCTTTGTACGTGGTTGTAATCCTTTAAAGGAATCGAGAAGCTATATATGCGGAGACATGATTTACGCGATGTGAGAGGCGGTCTCAAAGGCTTCAATATCAATTTTTCAGGGGTACAAAACATATTCACATTTGACATGTGGACTTCAATAAACATACAGTTCATAAACTGTCAAAGTTTTATGATGAGTCAAATGTTTGAAATATTATTGAGCTAATTAAAAAAACGACTACCACACATTTGTGCTTTTATCAATCTCCACGGCTTAGTCTGCCGTATAAGTTGAGTGGCCTTCCTTCTTGGTTTGCTAATCTCTGGGTAAATCTCGTGGTTCCTGGGCAGCAATTGGATATACTCACACACCTCATTATCTACAAATACCCAGAAGGCGTGCTTGGGCAATGGCTGGGTCCTATCGTTCTTTTCAAACAGACCTGGCCACACCTGCTGATTTGGATCTCCCGCCAAATTTAGCAGAGGCCATTTCTCTGGAATAGTGCGAAAAATCTACTTGCAGAGCATGTACAGGTTGTACACTTACGATGGAGATCCGTTACGACGACCCCATCGTAAGTCAAAAATATCGTAAGTCGAAGATGGCCTAGCCTACCCACGAGTCTTAAAGAATGGTGATAATTTAGCAAAACAGAGCAATTTACAATACTGTACTGTATAAACAAAATACTGTATGTATTTATGTATGTATTTATTGTACCTCGTACGCTGCTGCGTTTGCCTGCCGCGCAAAATTACAAATATTTTACAATTTTGTCGTATCGCTATCGCCATCGTAAGATCAAAATTATCGTAAGTCGGACCGTCGTAACTCGGGGACTACCTGTACACGTGTTGAGGTGCAACAGAAGACGCAGACGCAGTTCTTTAGTAGGGGCGGAATGCCAGGATTTATTAAGGGCTAATGCCGGGAACTTACAAGGGCTTACGCCTAACAGTTGGCAACGTAGAATCTCCCCAGGGGAAAAGGTACTGGGAGGTACCTAGCGCTTCCCAGGCTATTGGTGCTCTTCCCTCAGCACCAACCGAGAGGTCATCAAACTCGGTCGGACGGGTGAAGTAGCCCCCCCTAGCCTGGTACTAATTCTCCCTACCCCGGGTCCCAACCCTCTCCGATGCTGGCTCCTCTCGACGACCCCCCTTATGTCACGGGTCCCCCCTTATATCTCCCCGCGTAACATGACGTCATCACTCACTCTCCCAGAGCAACATCCCGTCATCCACTACTCGTCTACACGCGTATAAACACGATTTATCACTGAGACGGAAGCCGAGTTTCCAAAGGAGACCGGAGAATGCAAACGCATCCCAAGTACGGTGCATAATGTCAACAGCAGCAGAGTCGTAGAAATCAACGTGAGAATATTCTAAATTGTTTCTCATCGAAGTCATTAAAATTGACACGTGCAAAAAAAAATTGCATCAAATAATAGCAAATGACTACATTTCATTGCAGAGTTTCACCGTTTGCTTAATAGTCCATATTGTCATTGTGTTTATGAAGTGCGGTTACATCTACGCTCTCAATACTGTCCAACTAAGGCTGAAAGCAGGAAAGGCATTAGGTTCATCTGTCTGTAGAAGGGTGACATGATTGCCCTTGTAAATATTATCCAATGTCAGTGAACCTGTAGTGTAAAGTTGTTGCTAAAAGCCAGCCAAAGTGATGAAAGGGTTGCCAAAAACTTGAAGGTGTAAAGCACAGAAAAACGGACCAGCACTAAAAGCCTTTGGCCTGCTGGCCAAGGCAATAACGTCATGACGTGTGACAAAGCCAGATGCCGTAATTTGTCATGCGATGTCAATGTGTGGCTCATAATATAACGTCATTGCTTACTCCTCTTTGCTCCCTGTGGAGCATAAGGCCGCAACAAGCCCAAGCCATGCCGGTCGGTTTTCAGCAGCTTTCTCTGCTTCACCCCAAGACAGGCCCATGGTCTTATCGCTTGTTAAATGCTCGCGAGAACGGAATGTTGCGAAGTGTTACAGATTGTACACAACGATGTTCCCTTCGTCCTTGTCGCTTTGAACGCCCTCGTTTTTCTCCCATCAACAGCTTCTCCTGCGGTGTTCACGGGCACCGGTCGATTCAGGCGACACGAGCAGCAGTCGCCGTCATCCCCCCCTGATCTGGAGGGCCGGGGAGAGGGGGGAGATCCTCTCGACGACGACTTACAGCTGGACGGACAGACGATTGGTGGAAGGCCGCTGCCGCGGTGCAACCTGTGCGAGATGTCGCGACGGAGTTCTCGCCTTGCCACCAATGGCTACTACCAGGAGGAGCACAGCTACCACGAGGGAGACGGCGGTGGCAGCAGCGGCAGCGGTGGCGGTGGCAGCGGCACCGCGTCGCCCGGGAGCGTCCGATACCGGGAAAATGTGGCCAGGTCCCTCGAGGATGAGAGGTTGCGGGAGGGGATGCACAGGGATGAGACGCTGGGGGGAAAGGCGGTGCCTGGCAACGGAGCGCAAATCTGGCCATAGCTTAAAGTTTTTTTAAATCTCTAAACGTATGTCCCCCTCTTAGGTCTATGCCTCTCAATAACCCAACGGCGTGGTTATCGTGTGCACAGGCGGTGCAATTGCGCCACGTCCCATGGGCGTCGGTCTACGATGAGGGGCTAAATTGGACAGGAAGGGCCCATTTTCATCGTTTGCACGAGGGCACATGCTTGCCATGCTTTGTCACTGCGCTCGCCTATAGCTTAGATCCAACCCTAACCTTGAACTTGCCTAAGCAGACCAAATATAACCTTACTCCTCAGCTAAAAGCCGACCTTATCTCTTAAGCTTAAACCCTACCAGGTTAAATGATATTGAAGCTGTTTGGCATTGAGGGAAATCTTACAATGATTTGCAAGCCAAACACAGGCCTAGTAAAGGTATGTGCCTATTCAAATGCCTCTTTTCGGCTTGCACTGCATTGTTTTGGATTTCCCCAAAACGCCATACGGCCTGAATATATTTTTGCCTTTGTGTGCAAACCGTTGGATAATTAGTATGATACCTGCTTTTGTGTTTACGTTGCTTTGTTCAATGCTTAAAAGGCAGTACAAATAAACAACACATCCTAGGTCTTCATCCCTATTTTACATCGGTGAACAATACATTGTATACCCTAATTTACACGTGCTTTGCATTATCACGTGTTTTTAATTTATGCGGGCAACCTCTCCCCCTCATTACTCCGGATAATCGAGAGTTGACTCTACTTCATTCCTGGCATCGTCTGTTTATCACGAGTTTGTTTTGATGGCTTATTTATTTGCCGTGTTTATTTGTCGTATTGCTCATTGGCGATTTTTCTTGTTTGTTGACGGGGCGCGGGGCAGAGTGTTCCGAGCGCGCAAAACTTCGCACCGGGGCTCCGGCGCGACCCCGCACGGTGCCCGGGGTCGGGCCCACGTCGACTCGCCGCTCGTGACCACGGAGAGAGGCAACAGCATCCGCGTGGAGCGGGGCGACGGCTTGTCGCTCACCTCGACACTCATCGAGGAGTCCTGCCTCCCCGAGCGGGAGTGCAGCGGATACCTATGGGGTGAGTGCTGCATGAGGGCGGGAGGCGGGGGGGGGCGTTACATGGTCAGTCTTGTGCACGGTGCCTCGGCGTGCCGCAAAGCTGCATTATTAACGTCATCGTTAGCGTCAGCCCTGATTTGATTTTATTTTTTATGTTGTCCTAATGTTAGGCAAAACGGTCACCGCATCGCACGCTTTCAGATGCGCTTCTGCGGCTGTCTGGAACGCTCTTCATTCCGAGATTAGGAAGCTGGGAGCTATGACACTTTTGAATCTAGATTGAAAACTAATTTCTTTAGAACTGCTTTATGTGTTTAGTTTGTTGTCCATCCGCCGCACATGGTTGGCTACGTACGGTGCAAAATACTTTCTACGTACAAATTTCACTACTGCAGGATGGAGGCCTCCACGAGCCGACACCATTCCTCGCAGGCGTGCAAAACGACAAATCCGTCGAGTGCGTGCTCGAGCCAATGTCATCTCGCCACCTCCGCGGTTGTCGTTCTCTATATTGGCTGTGACGTAAATGAAAATAATGTGATATGCTTATCCCATTATACGTTGTGGATTCGTACTGGTCTGCATTTAACGCGCAACGTGAATGAAAGATATAATGTGCAAATTTAATAACGACTCCGATTCTTGCCAATTTTCAGAATCTTTCTTTTCACAGTGGCCCAGTAAGATTATAGAGTCGTGTGAGAGGGTGAATTATTTCAGCCTTGCTGCTTTGTGTCACAAGCTAAGATCACAAACAACAATGCTGATATGATGTGACGAAATACTCGTAATGCATGGTATGAAGTGTGACAGCTCTCATCGACCTGCTGCTGACCAATACGAAGTTACAAACAGATGCTCCACGATTGCACTCTACTCGTACTTATCTACAAGCCAAGAGATTTTTAATTTTTTTACTTTCAAGGAGACCGTCATCCAGAAGTGGATTGATCATGACTAATAATTAATGATCTTTCCTCAAAAGGCACGATCTATTTTCAAACCTCTTTGCCGAGTTATTTTTTGCACATTTCTGTAATATGACACCCGTGGGGTGAAGATCCCGCAGTGTTTGGGAAAGCAAAGGCGTAAGTGGCCACTGCCCTCGCAACTGGGTCAGTTTGCCTTGGGGCGATGGTTGAATTCCCACCACAGCCAGGAAGTAAACTTTCTGCACGGAATCGGTAATATTGTTTTGTCAACACTTTGTGAAGTTGTGTATTTCTGATGAATACCCAGTGATGGCATCGTACGCAAAACAGCGCTGTTGTCGCAGCAGAAATAGCAAATTTTTAAAATTACATCGCTGCTAACTTCGAAAAGTATAACCGTCTCGGTGTAAGCACAGAGATCTGGTTTCCATTGTGGATGGCAGTGAATGGGCAGCGGTGCGTCGACTGGTTACGTATTTTTTCTGTCAAACACGGCGACAGCTAGAAAGCGCGTGCCAGGCAGAGGAATTTGAAAGATTCGCTGAATTTCAAGTGCGGTTTGTGTGAATGAGTTGTTTGGCAGGCGAATAAATGCCTCTCATCTTTTTGCAGGGCTTGACAAAGAGGAAGATCAATCCAGTAAGATATGATTCCGTTTCATTATCTCTTGAATTATATGTACAAGCAATCCTGTGACTTTCATCACGAAATTTAGTCACTCCATTTAATCCTAAAAGAGTAGGCATTAGGTACTATGCTGGCCTCACGAGTGCCTATGTACATAACCGTCGAGTAATTTGATCGCATCTTCTCACTCCATTATGAATACAGCACGACCAACATGTCACGTATTATTGCAATAAAACATTTAGAGTGTCTGCTCTGCTCAAACAAGCGTGAGGTGCCACCCTATTGGCAGCTCAGATCGAGTGGTATACATTCCGCATTCCTGTGTTGGGGTTACAAGTTCTCAATGTACCAACCACTGCTGCTTTCCTGCAAACTGGCACCCACTGTATTGGTGACAGGAAATGATTAGCTGAGTCGACTCTGACCGGGAATTGAACTCTCACTCTTCTGATTACGATTCAAGGGTTCGGATTACTGCTTCATCCGGCCGGGCACCGTGAGTGTGTGCGTGTGTGTTTGCAGAGCAGTAGTGCAATGGTTAGCGCACTGCGCTACAAAGCCCGGCAACCCGAGTTCGATTCCCGCTCACAGCCAACACCGGTGACGATTATTTGAATCGATCCTGGGCCTCGCCTAGGTCGACTCGACCTCAAATGAGTACCTGGTGTGGTGGGTAAACATCGCCACTAGGGAGACAAAGGCGGCCGGGCGTGGTGCTGGACACCCACCCCCTCGCGTGCCGTGCCGACCTTCATAGGTTCTCGCTAACAGCACTTGCCCCAGCACTCTGTTAAGGCTATACGGGGGGATCTTTGTCTTTTGTGTCAGTCCACGGGGTTGTGCTGCAATTCTTCTCGCCCTGCGCAATGAACCCAGCACCCTGAGTTGTGGTATCTTAAACCTGTCCTTGACCATCACGAGGTCAACTCAACCTCAAATGAGTACCTGATTCGCTGCGAGAACATCAGCATCGGCCACACCATCTCCTTGTTCAGCACGCCAGCCTTTGTAGGTGCCCCCCAAGAGGGCTCGCGCCTAAAGTGTATGCGGCTGCAGAAGGGGTCTTTGTGTTTTGTCCGCATGGATGTGCAGCCATCACATTGATGATGAGCGAGCAGACAGGCCACATCTCCAACGAGAGCCAGAGAAGTCTCCACCACAATACCAGCACCTCTGCGGCTGCAGCGGCGGCGACAGACGGCCATGCCACACGGTTGTGGAACAAGCACAGCGGGGACCAGCACCGCACGTCGCCCGCCCAGCATCGTGAGTGCCGTGTTAGATGATGCGAACGGCGTTGAGCTGTTGACACCTTTGTTTATCCTTTTATCTATAGTTTTGCCCCAATTGTGTCGTCTGCGTCGTGAGACGAATAATTGGCTAATGACGCTTCGCCGCCGCACCTTCGCCACACTGCGCTGCGATTTGATACTTATGTTGGTTGAACTTATTTTGCACCATAAGTAGCCAACCGTGCTTGTCGGAGGTGCGGTGGGCGGGAAAGGACAATAAACCAAACATAAAATACAGTTCGAGTGGATCACATGTCGGCAAAGGGATGCTGATGAATGTGTAATGCTGGTTTCGAGCACTTCGATAACAGTTTCCGGATTTTGAAATCCGTCACCCGCGCCTTGCCTTTCTAACCCTCCACCCACATCGCCCACCAGTGCCGGAACCAGCGCGCTCATCCAGCTGGCGGCGTGCGATGGGATGGGTTGCGTGGCCAGTGAACGTCTGTTGGACGCTGGTGGCGCAGTTCACGTTCTATTGCGTGGGGGCAGCGATCACGCCCCCACCTGTCTTTGGTGCCGTCCACGGAACGGCAGGTGCGCAATTGCGCCTATTGTGTCCCCCGTGTGTCCCCCTGTGGCAGGGGTACTCAACCTCGTGATGTCGGACCACCGCAGAGTGAATACCAGAAAAACCACAAGTGAAAAGGGAACAAAAAGGCCGTAGTGTTCGTGGCATGGAAGCCAAGGCGAATCACACTGACCAATGAGGCACGAGCCCTAACCCGAATAAACGAGCCACAGACCCTCGCAATAACCGTAACCAAAATATTCAACCAGACACTCGCTCTGCCTGGACCCGAGCACTAGCCCTGCTTACACCTGAATCTATCCATAGTAGTGAACAAAACAATAACCCCCTCCATAACCCGAACAAACTAGCGACGACACCCTATAGCGAACCCTAACAAATTAGCCAACCTGACCCTCGCACTAAAACCTTCGACCAACCTCAACCCGAGCCCCGCCGCTCATGTTTCACAATTTCCTCTTGTTTGCGTTTCACTTTTGGCATTCACGACACCCCCTCGATATTGGCTCTTCAAATGCCGAGGTGCCCAAACACAGTACAGTGTGATGTCGTTGTCAGTGGCTAGTTTATATCAATTATAAGTGGCGCCAGTTCACTTTCCAGATCTGGGGGCCCCTGTTCCCTTAGCAATGTGCCCCATTAATGCTGCACACAGTCCTTTAGTGGTCCATGCATCCGTAGTTGAGAATCCTTGCCCCTACGATCCACCATTGACAACACTTTCCCACTTTGTGCACCTGGTCCGTGTGGTTCCTCGGGTTTCCGTCTCTCCGCTGCTGGCGGGCGTGATGCAAGACATTGCAGTAACTGTGCTCGTGTTGTGGTTCATGATTCGGCGAAAAATATTGGCAAATGTGGAAAGCCAGCCCATGGGGCATGTGAAGATTGGATTTTGGGAAACCTTTCACGAGGACAGTGTTATGACTGCCACGTCTTGGTCTAATGATTCTCTCCCCCTCTGGTTTCATTATTTGTTGTGATTCGTGGTCGCGATTCGATTCAAACATCAGTTCTTTTGGTAACATTGTTGTCAATGTAGAGTGGCCTGTTGCAGTTCAAAGACTCGCGTAAATGTATTATTTACGACAGGAATGAATCTGCGAATATCAGTCCTTACGCATGTGAATTGAGCACGCATCCTAAGCTCTACAATGATTGATATTAATTGATGACTTATATCCAGGATGGCTTTTGTTTCCACGCGTACCCATCTCCCTATAGTTGCCAATGCGCGGAGTGCTCTGTGCTTGTTTTTTGGGGAAAGTGCTGAACAAATGTAATATTGATTTATTAATTGCCTCGCAATGTGCTCTGGTCAGCCAGAGCTGCTGACTGGATGCCTGCCATAATCCCATCGTTTATGAATAGATGTCACCATCAATCAAAGCGTGACACTAAACACCCTGCAGCATCGCAAACCTTTTGTTGTATTATGGCCTCAATTGAAAAGTTTTTATAAATTGCCTGCAGCTGATATTGAATGTAGCTTTTAAATTGGCTCATGTGCAAAAAAAATATTAAACGTTGCGTTGTGAGACTGTGAGAGATTGCGACGGAGAGGCCTTTACCCATCAGTAGCACCATGGTGGCGAAATGCCTCGCCTGGTATGAAGGAGGTGGTGGGTTCGATCCCAACATTGACGCCTGTATATTCTGAGTTGGCATGTTTTCCCCGTGGCCGTGTGGATATTTGTCTGGGTCTTCCAGCTTTTCTCTCAACATTTAGATTCAACATGCGTTTAAGGGTTATTTGGCTGCTATAAATTTCCACATGATAAGCCACTTCGTTGAGTTATCAATAGTAGGGCACATGCAAAACAATACAATAGCTGTCCGATCTGGTTGTGCATGTGTGGCTGACGAGAGCGTTTTCTGTGACCCGGTGTCTCTTTGCTGTTTTTCAGATTCCAAGACAACTCGAAAGGCCAGCACCTCTGCCAACTTTTTCCGTAAGCCAGGCCGCAAATGAACCACGCGTACACTGCAAATAACGTAGAAATGCATCACATTTAGGCTTGCAATGCATCATGGCAAGTGCCTCTCTGAACCTTGGCATGCTCTTTGTTGGCCTCTCTTCCTCTATGGCTTTGTGCGCTGTGCCTCCCGTAGAAATGCGCTTGCTTAAAACGGTGCTCGAGCTGACCGTCAACTGGAATGTGAATCTGTGTGACCAGGTCGCTTGGTGCTCAAATGCATGTGGGTGTTTGGGGTTGGCTGGTACAACCTCATTGGTCTCCTCTCCCTCTTCAATGTCTTCCTTCTCACCCGGTAGCAAACCCGTACGCGCGCGCACACACACACTGACGCAATGCGCGACATAACACCGCGTACAAAGCAGCTGCGTAATCAGGTTCGATTCCAAAGTGGCGTTAATGCCACGCCTGTAGATGCCGTGCATGTCGTTTTGATGGCAGTGTACACCGTGATTATGCAAGGAGTACGTACGTTGATATGGTTTGTTTGCAAATCAAACAGTTAATAATAATAACCTATGAAGGCACCTCGATTTGAAGTGGTGTACAGGCAGTTGTTTCCTTTCACATGTGAGTGGAATTAAACGCTCTGCAGACTTTTAAGTTATAAATGCTGTTGTTTTTATCATCTCAAGAACCGTGGTACTGTTTTGCACCAAATACTTTGTGCGTGCAACGCGTTCTACTCTCCCTTTGTATTCTGTGTGTGCCATGTTGACCCACGACCTTGCCGTTTTGAACTTCACCGCGTAGAGTTGTTTTTGGATAGTTTATGTTCGTGTGTTTTTGCTGGAACGAGATTTCTATTGTGTAACCACGTCCCCATCAACAATGGGCATCCTTTGCCCAATGGGTTTTACCTGTGCCAAAATATAACCAAACCGAGGGCAATTCAATGAATAAATGCGACACATTCGTTACTCGCACAAAGCGTTCGCCTGCTCTATAGTTCCAGTTGTATGGCAGTGTTGTTGTTGTTTACCATTAGTTTTGATTTGATATGGACTGTGTGTATATATACACGAGACATCCCATATACAATGAAGGAAATGTATTCTCTGCCAGAGTAAATGAAGTATTTTTTTTATTAGTAACTGTCTGTGGCATGCTGGAGAATGACTTCAAATGTTACAAATTGGTCCATGTCTCCTAAGGTTACAAAGCTGCCATTGATCGTATTGGCCCTTTGAGGGCCTCTGTCGTTGAAATACAAAGTCTTTACACTTGAAGCATACGGTGGAGTTTAAGTAGTATTTCATCTCTGCACTCATTTCTTCCCCACAGGCGCATTCCCAGAGCGATAAAAATGATCCTGCTTTTGATACTGCTTTTGTTGGGTGAGTCTCTCTTGTCCTGCCTTGGACATTTAAAGCATATTGATGTCTTCGGTCACACAGACCCTTACTATGAGTAATTTTAGATGCTGTGAAATGTTAAACTGCAACATTTGTGGGAGGCTCAACCAGAAGACGTAGTGAGCTGGTTGATTCTAGATGCTATAAAATGTTACTCCACACGCCCACTCAATCATTAGCCCTGCCCGATGTGAGTGGCATCGCTGTTCGTGATGTTGGCCCTACCTATAGCTCATAGGCTCCATCTACTCCTCTGACGTGCTCACTCGTCGGGTAGTAGACCAGCCTTTTGTGTCCGTGTCATTGATCGAGCATGAACATTTTAAACACGGGACAAAATATCAACATTTTCGCAAATGCTTCGGGACATCGAGAGAACCTTCTGAGCAGAGGTTCGCAAATGGGTTTTGCTTCCTTACCCGTACCCGGCTGCACCAGGGTCGCAAACGGGTACCCGTACCCTACCCGTACCCTACCCGATACCCGGCCGGGTACGGGTAGCCGGGTATCGGGTAGGGTACGGATATCGGGTGCCCGATTGCGACCTCTGCTTCTGTGTCCAAGACTCTCGCAGCGAAACCGAGACGTTTGGTAGCTCGAGTAAACACACCTTATCTTGAGCGGATTGCGTTCGCACCCAAATCGGCTCTCATTGTTACGAAGCAATGTTTTGAAATGACACGTGTTTCTGTTTTTGCGAGATGACCTTTTCAGGTGGAATTGTTTTGCACGTCTTGCCAACAGCCATTGTAGGGGTTGGTTACGCGTTGGTGGTGTTCGGATACGTACATCTGTCGAGAAGTCATGAACATGCACAAGCTGTGCCGTCGGATGTCATGATCAGTTCTGGCATGGTGAGTCAAACGTGTGTGTGGTTATGTTTGGTAGTGTGAAGTGATGAACTGGTCTGAAATCTGCAGTGGATTTGGCCGTGTTGGACTAAACTGATGCACGTAAATTGACCAATGCATGTCCCTACCCTCTGTACTCGTGGATGTTGTTTCCCCGACACCTTTATTCCAAGGTGTTGGAAGCGTGGTTGGTGTCACACAACATATATCGTGTGCGAGACCCCGATCTTGTGGGCCAGTAGGCAAGGATAGTACAGGAAAAATGGGCTCCTGAACTGCTGTTTACAGATTTAGGAATTTTATCTAAATAAATCGCCAGGTGTGTATAATGAGTCGTCGATTCCCATCAATTCAAATATATCCTCATAATTATGACACATGCATCTAATTTAAGAATGTATTATTTTTGAATACTTGTACATGTTTATGCAAATGTATTGTAGACCAGTGGTTCCCAGCCCGTGGACAAGCAGGCCACAAGAAGGGGTCTGCAGGACTTTTGCAGATTTTACGATTTGGAGCGGTTATAATTTAAAAATAAATTATGTTTGTGTTGCATAGTAGTTTTTGAGAATTCTTTGGTGGTTGACGGTGGTTCGTGGGTACAGAAAGGTTGGGAACCACAGCTCTAAGGTGATGGAAAGGCCACACAAATTAGACAGAACTCGACAGAGAGTACAGACGGCACAAGGGATAAAGTACAGACGGTAAGAACAACAAAAAGTACAAATCTTGATTTGTTTTTGTATGGAATCATGACTCAATTGATGGAATCATGACAGGAGGCGTGGCGTCGAATCGTCACCCGTCTACAAAGTGCACTTTCATTATTGTTGTCGTCTCAACAGCCGTCAGTGGTGCAAGTGCAGAGCCAGCGCCGTCTGCAGCAGCTGGAGCAGCAGGTGTCGTCGCTACGGGGCGTCGTCGAGCAGCAGGAGCTGCAACTGGAGCAGCTGCGGACCGCCGCTGAGCAGCATGAGAAACAGGGGCACGCGCTGGAGGGGCTGCGCAACGCCGCAGAGAAGCAGGAGGTTCGACAGGAGCGGAGATGGGGGGTAGGGTGGGGTCTGTTGCGGTCCAGCGTACGCCCTTGGATCAATCCGCGTGCATCGTCTTTTAATGGTCTTGTCGGTAAAGCCCTGATGCCGACAGAGCTGCTTTTTGTGTTTGCTGTCCTTCGCCCGCACCTCCGATTAGCACGGTTGGCTACATAGGGTGCGAAAGAAGTTCAACTTGCATACTTAGAGCATTGAGAAATGTCCAGATGAGTAACAGTGTTTGTGTTTTAAATTGGTGGGCAAAATTGTTAGCGTTGGCAAATGCCATATGGAGCAAGTGATTTTCACTGCTTGGAATTGCAAGGAAAATAGGAATCGCCGTGATGGTTCTACATGAAGTGGCATGTGGTGCAGATGATAGGATCTCAAAGCGCGGGGATGGGTTTGAATACTTTTGTGCCGTGGTCTTGTTGGTGTGAGATGTGAGATACCTTTGAACTGAGGACAATGACAAATGGATGATGGTTGTATAGCGCAAGCCAGTCTGTCCTTAAAGTGGTTTAACTGCAAGGGCAAGACCTAAAATCAGAGGGTTGAATGAGATTATAAATGCAGATCGAGGTGATGTTGACTATGCAACAGGTGTGGGATTTAGCAGAATGAAGGATGCTGGCAAGGTGCGTTGGCTTCAACAGAGTTGGCCGTATTGATATCACCATTGTGAGCTTGTGCGTGCTTAACATCCAGAGACTTAGTTCATGTGTTGTAGGAAACAACTTTTCCAAAACATGACAAATGTGAAATAATGACAGTTTGGCTATTCTTAACTCTCCAAAGCACAAACTGGGAACAACACGGTAATATCTATTAAACTGCCTTACAAAGCAATCTTTTTGTTTCAGCGCACAATCTGTGACTTGAAGAAGCTGGCAGAAGGGTAAGTCCGACTTGCTTTGCAGCTCCGTCACTGCGGATCCGAATGATGTGTGCGTTGCTGCTCACGCGCCTGCTTTTTGAGCGTCGCGCTGGCGACGCCGTTGACCCCGCTTGCTTGTCCTCCGCGTGCCGTTTGCGGGACAGACACGAACACAAGCGGTTGGCTTCGTCAGTCGAGGTCCTGGAGGAAAACGTTTCCAAGCTGAAGCACGAAATCCTCCACGGGCATCTGCAAAAGGCAAGAGCCGCGCCACCCTCGATGCTTAAAAAACAAATCGATGATCGTGCATCGCAAGCATGACTCTTCCGGGGTCAGACGTCGGCGGTCGTATGGCTTGGAGTTAGTAAATCCACTGCTAGATGGGGGGGGGGGCTTTTGACTATTGCTTCTTAACTATACTTCACCACAATGGCCATTGCGAGTTGTTAAAGGTGAGGGAGCATAGATGTACAGTATGATAATGGATGTTTGTACTGCATACAACATAGCCCATATAAAAATGCATTAATCAAGGCAGTCTTACTGGGTCTTTAGATTAAATGCAGTTAATTAGGTTTGTGGTTAGTGAGTTTTGCAGAGGTTTTTATATAAATAAATACCTCTTCCGCTATCCTGCTCAGCTCCAGTGTTAACAATGCCAAGCCAGCCTGGCTAAGCTGGTTTGAACCTGCATCTTGCATTGATGGATGCCGACCATGTAGTAAGTGGTTCTCGTAGGGCTGCTGGGCTATGTTGTGGGCAGCAGAGGGCAGTGCAGTAGTTTACCGTACTTCTATGCTCCCTAACTTATGCTCCCTGCTGACAAATCCGCATTGATTGTTGTGAAATTCGTTAAATTAATCCTCGTGATCCACGCGGCATGGGGAGGCCCTCATCCAGCAGTGGATTGAAAAACGGGCTGTACGTGTACAAGAGCCTGGTGAGACCAAGAGGTCTATATTTCAAGGAAGGCCTGGGTCAATGCACATTTAAAATACCTCCTGACGGCGAACAATATGGAATTATAGTAATAGGTTTTTACCCTTTCAACTGGTACAAAAACTGACACCTTTATACAAGGTACCTTTTGGTGTCATCTGGTCCAACACCAATGGAGACTAGGCTCTAATAAAAGCTGTCTCAGGTGTGGACCAATCAACTTCAAGGACAGTGCATATCATTATCAGCATCAGAGTTCTTTCTTTTTGTTTGCATTTTGACTGCTTGTGTTGTGGTTATTGCAAACATGATGCCTTGTATAAAGGTGTCAGTTTTTGTACCAGTTGAAAGGGTAAAAACCTATTACTATATTTTGCCACTGTTAAAGGAGGTCTCATAGTATAATATGGAATTAGCCATCTTACTGTTGTGACGGAATGTGTGGGCTCTGTGTGACGTCGGCGGTCAGGTGGAGGCTGCCGTGGTGGCCACCCTGGGAGCCCTCGCGTCTCGCGGGGACGACCGCTCTGAGCTGGCGTTGTTCGCGGCGTGGCTGACGGCGCACGTGCTCTCGTCGGACCACATGCGGACGCTGCTGCGGGAGACTGAGCAGGCCGTGGTGGCCAACGTGAGCAAGCGGTGGACATGGCCCCCCGACCCCGAGCGCGACGGAGCCCTGGAGTCGACGGGCGGTGGCGTCTCCAGACAGGTGGGCCTGGCGCTCGGGGGCTCTGCCTAGACTCTTGCGCTCATGCAACGCGCGCACGTCAAACTGTGTGTGCGTGGTGAGGATTAACCGCTTTAATTGCCATAATAAAGCGGACTTGGGCAGGACACTCAACGTCAAGGTTAATGATGGAGTGGCAGTAGGAAGGACATAGGATGATGCCCACCGCGGAGGTATCATCCGCCAATAACTAAACTATTTTTGTTTACCAGGTAACCCCACTGAGCTACTAGTTCTTTTTCAGAGGCAACCTGCTCACTGAAGTGGCTGAGCATCATATGTGGGAATTTAGAGTAGCAGGCAAATAATCCAAACCCATGTGTCTAAATGTGGAGAACAAAATCGGAAAACAAGGAGAAAAATCCATGCAACCACCACAGTGATAAGGAACACGGCAACTCCAAATATTCAGGCATCACCACAACGTCCTGCTGAGCAGGCGAGGGAGATAACATCTCACCCCTGCGGCAAAGTAGCCAAGTATCGAACTCAGGTTACTGGGTTCCATGCACAGGGTAATGAGCAACTCTCCACCTCTTTTCCCCCACCCCCCGCTTCACACAGTAATAATTTTCAATTGCTTTTTCTATAGATATATTTTCTTCATGGAACAGAGTTTTGTAGAGAAGGATGTGCTTGAGTAGCAGCATAAAGACTCATTCTTGTCTACCGTGCAGGAAGTGTACGCGATCGTGCAGAACGCCCTGAGGCTGTACGAGGAGGATAAAATCGGGAAGTTTGACTTCGCCTTGGAGTCTGCAGGTGTGCGGCGCGCGATTCAACATGCACACGCACGCACACACACTCACAGACGGACGGACACCGGCGCTTGGGACACCACGGTGAACTACCGTAGGTCAAGTTATGCTTGTGTCGTTACCCTCCTCCACAGGTGGCACGGTGATCAGCGTGCGGTGCTCGGAGGCGTACAGCCAGCAAATCGCTCTCATCACCCTGTTTGGGGTGCCGCTGTGGTACACATCACAGTCTCCACGAGTGATCATCCAGGTAACGGCCGTAACTTTTACTCGACGTTGTTGGTGTATTTATGTTGAAATGAACAACAAGAGGCTGTTTATTTGGTTGGCTCTCCTGAGTTGTGAAAATTTTTCATTCCTCTGTTGGGGGCCATTCCCTCTCATTGGAAATCACGCTTGTCTCTTAGCGCAATGCCGTGTTCATTCTCTTGGTCCTGGTGGGATGACCGGCGAGGTTGGCTCCATTCGGGATTGGAACGTCCACACTTGTCAATGGCAGAGGAGCACTGACGACAATGGCTTCTGGATAACTTTACCATACATACTAATCGGCCTTATTTGGCGTAACGTCTATGCTTTTGACTATGATGGTAAAGAAGATGATTACAATGATAGTGATGGTGATGTTATTCACGAGTGATATCCTAGCCACAATTTTCTTCTGAATATGAAACAGACTCGTGGAGAAATTGGGCAAATATGCGAGTGCAGCCACCTGCCATAACAACAGTCTTGATCTCGTTGAGGCTTTGTGGATTAAAATAAAAGGACTTTCCACACGTCCTACTTGAGGACCAACCTAAAGAAGGGTCTTGATATTTGACGAGGCTTTTTTGGATACATAAAGGGGCTTTTGTTATTATTGTTGTTATAATCATTGTGTCAATGTGTACCCCACAGCCAGATGTCTACCCTGGGGACTGCTGGGCATTTAAGGGTTCCCGGGGTTACGTCGCTATTAAGCTTTCGGACACAATCTACCCGTCGGACTTTACGTTGGAGCACATCCCTCGCGCGCTCTCACCCACGGGCGACATCACCAGTGCGCCCAAGGACTTTGCGGTCTACGTGCGTAATGCGACACGACACTTTTACGTTGCCTGGTTCAGCCTCCTTAAGTGTTTTATTTTTTTCTGAGAGGGGTGAACCCTCAGCTGTGTTTTTACATTGGCAAGTTCTCCAGAAACAAACAGGAATTTGTTAATATTTTTTGCCCAGATTGACCCCTTTTCAGCTTGCTCAAAGTGTGTTACCGTTCAATGCAGGAATTGATTCTAGAATCGCGACAATCCATTGAATTGCCAGGAGGGTGGAATTGACCAAACATCCCAATGTTGCACGTTCCCAAAAATAAGCTTTCAAACCAACTTGAGTCCTTTCTATGGCTAAATAGAAGGGCTATGTACAGTAGAACCTTGGATTGCGAGTAACTTGGTCTGCGAGTGTTTTCCAAGACGAGCAAATTTTTTAAATAAATATTAATTTGATCAACGAGCGAGGTCTTGCAATACGAGTAGTACGTGTATACGCTTTGTCTGCCGAGCGTCACGTGATCACAACTGATATACGAGTGCTGTGGATTACAAACACGTTTCCGGAACGAATTATGCTCGCAATGCAAAGTTTTACTGTATTTGTTTTACTGGACCTGCATTTGCATTTCAGGGTCTGGATGAAGAGATTCAGCAGGAGGGATACCTCCTGGGGCAGTACATGTATGACAAGCACGGTGACCCCCTGCAGATGTTCCACATGAGCGTGAGTTTTGCCCAGCGTTTGGTGCACCCATTCCGTGTTGATGACGCAAGGTTCTCCATATTCATTGTTAAAATCTAACATGACCCCTGCCTAATTGGGATGAAGGCGTGCAGTCTTCAGTTACATGCGATTTGAGTGGCAAATTTAGGTGCGGTGTAGTGATACTTTTTACCGTACGCTTCATTTTATTGTGTAAATGCAGTGTGTTGTATTTTCATTTAAAATTGCATTAACGTAATGTTAGCCTACATCTTGACTTGTACATTAATGCACACACTGTAGTGAAATGCCTGGTCTACCAATGCTCTTTAACATATTCTTTGGTTCTTTCGGTAAAGTCACGTAGATAGAAAAATGGTAATAAATAAAAAATAATAAAATTAAATAACTAATAATGGGGTGAGGAAGGAGCCATCTGAGGATCCAATCAAAACCATCACCTTGTCATACATAGCAGGGGTAACCAAAAATATTTCTTAAATCATGAACAACCACAAGATCCACGTCCGATTTAACATCCTACATAAAATTGGTGATCTGATCCCATCTGTGAAGGACAAGATCCCTGACATGCAATATCCCGGCGTCTGCAAACTAAGCTGTATCTGCAGCAGCAGTTACATTGGGGAAACTAAGCGACATGTCTCGGACCATGTTCGTGAGCATAAGGCAGATTTGAAACACGGTAGGACCAATACTTCTGCCGTGGCTGATCATTATTTTAATGGGGCTGGCTCATACTTTGCAAACCCATTGGCTATCAACAAAGATTTGTTCAATCTTGATTTGAGGCTTTCGTGACTGCAGGAATCCATACTCTTTGGTTCTTTCGGTAAAGTCAAATAATTATGAAGCCATCCATATGTGTCGATGTCTGTATAGACATCGACACAATTTCAACTGAGAAGATGGGTACAAACTCAGCAATCACTGGAAGGACGTTATCAACCAGTTCAAGTCATAACTGGCTGTAATGTTTCAATTTTAGACCTGGCAGCCTTTTAATTGGTGGAAGCCCACCACCAGGACCATCACTGGCCACTACTACCATCACCTCTAGCAGCAACCACCACCATCGCCGTCGTTGCCCACTACTCCCATCACTTACATTAACATTAGCTGCCCCGCCCATGCTGCTGACACTTGGGCTGCGCATTTTAAACCTTTATAAACAGTTTGCCTTTAGAGGCTACCCCCTTTTCCTGATGACGACAGCTTGTGTTGCGATCGAAACGTCGTGGTTATTTTTGTTTTCTTATTTTTTCTTCTATCTACGTGACTTTACCGAAAGAACCAAAGAATATAAATTCCTGCAGTCACGAAAGTTTTAAGTCAAAAGATGTCCTTAAACAACACCTCCTGATACTGTAAAACATTCCATGGGGTCTATAATTAATGCCTAACCCTGCCTTATACTCATCAACACCCTAAGCCAAACCCTCTATTAATCCTAACTCTGCTCTGACCATAACCATGGCCTCATTCTCTGCCCTAGCCATATATCTCTGCCCTAGCCATATATCACCCCAACCCCGAACTTTACCCTAATCCCTACCCCACCTCCCCTCGGCGGCTGTTAGTTGGTGAAGCCATGATTGTGTGGTGGCGTTCTGCAGAACTCGACGGCGGCACATCCATTTGGGATTGTGGAGCTCCGCATCCTGAGCAACTGGGGCAATTCAGAGTACACCTGCATCTACCGCTTCCGAGTGCATGGCGAGCTGGCCACCTCCAGAGGATGGTAACTGACTCGGCCCTCCCGAATGTTCGTCAGGGGTTTGGGAGGGATCTGGAGTAGCGGCATACACACAGGGCTGCATATTCTACCTGTGAGAATCGGGCAAGTCTTTGTCATCATTTAAATACTAAATATGCTGCGAGTATAAAATAAGGTATTGTTTTTAAGCGTCAAAAGATTAGTGTTGCCTCTAATATTAATATTTTGTTGTTCTAAGAATAATGGTAGGTTTATGTAAAATGTTACGTTTGTAAAGAATAGGCATGTTTAATTTCGAGTTTAAAAAGTAAGCCTCATTAAAATGGTAGAGGCATACAATTTTACATCTATTTTAAACAAATGCTTTGGAAGCATTATTTTTAAAGTATATATTTAATATTTTTCTTCCATAACTTTCTTGTTACTTAGCTTTGCAGAAAATCAATCTGATGTGCATTTCTATCGACTGAATGTGTGGCTAGGTTTAATGATTCCGCAAGCGTCCCATGAGCTGATATGGTTGTTATATAAATATAGGGACAGTCCTTGGCCCACGGGGTCTAGAATTGGGCTTTTTCCGGCCGTGGTGCCTCTCACGGCTACCATGCTTTTTGTGGGCCACAGACGTGCTGAGGCAGGCCGGGCCACATGAGCCCGGAGCTGCTCCTGCAGGAGGCCGTGAAACACAAGCACCAATCACCACTGCCCTGCGACGCCCTCATGCAGCATCTGCAGCTTCCACGTGACAGCACCGCTCACTTGTCGCTCGCACACACACACACACCTTGGTGTCTGCACAGACTTACGACATGTACACCGATGCACCTGCACACACGGCCTGCTTGCTCATATGTCTGTACAGCTATACCCCTGCATGCACACCTGGCCCGCACATCTATTAATCATTACTCTCTGGATACATGCATACTAATAGATTAGGTCAATTCATGTCACAATTGGAATAGATTCTTAAATTGATTTGCGACTGAATCGTGACAGTTCATCAAATTACAATTGGGGTGAATTATTCCATGCCCAAATACCTACACACACACACACCTATACGCCTGCATTTAGGTTCCACTCAATATGCAGCGTATGTAAATGTGAAGTTTAAGTTTTTTTTAAACCCTCTTTTCACTTTGTTATGCCTAAACTCTATGCATTGACTGTAGTGCATTTTTCAACTCTTGTTGAGTAACCAGTAAATATTGAGGGATTGTCTTGAAGCTCGCAGTGGCTTCTTCAGTTTAACAGGCAAATTAATAAAACCAGGAGGCTTGAGCGTGAAAATAACGAACTTGTATGTTGAGTGGCACCATAACCTACACACATCTATACATCATCTGCCCAGTCGTACACCTGCACTTATGAGCATGCATCGCAGTGGAAGGTGGTGCGGGCTGTGTGCTTGTTGTTGCTGTCTAAAATCAGGACTTTTTTCAGCCGCTTAGACTGGATGTCTGCAATGTAAAATAAAAACATAATTTGCAATAAAAACGCATTTTAGTACTCTCTTAGCTTAAACATGTTTTCCTCTATCACTTTGTCAAAGGGTGTACCATCACTGAAAGTAAACAATTGTCACATTTTTTTTTCAAAGGTGCAACTTTTGGAAAAGGTATCTTTAAATAGCTATTTGATTTTATAGATGTTATCCTGAAATGATGTTATTTTTTTGCATAAATTATAAAGAAACAGGTCCTTGCCTTGGAACATTTTACCAATGTTTTTTTTCCGTGGAGAAAATACTTTGGCTAGTGTAACATTGAGCGGTTTTACAAAGATGTTTCCACATCTTAATTTAATGATTAAGCCAATACAGTATTAACGATAAAAAGTACAGTAAATGAAGCCATTATTTTGGCTGTAAAACAATCACAGGCGGATGTAATTCAGGTATTTAATCTGTGTGCAGGCAACAAGAACACTCAACCTATACCCGAGCTATTGTGTACCAGCTGCCAAGCATGGCTGTTTAAATAGCATATCCTCTTGCAAATTCTCAAACTGAATTGTAAGTTTATACCTGTGTTTTAAAAGAACGTTGGCATGGCAAGACAAGCAAAATGTATTCTTTTGACTTGAGACGCTGTGTATGAGTGGCTATTGCTCGGCTGACAATACCCAGTCTTGCAGCGGGAGCAGACCTGTCGGTTGTTGCTTCTTCAGTACTATTATGTACTGTGGGAGATGTGTACTGTAGTATTAGCCGGTTTAAGAAATAATGTAAAATCCATACTGGCATCAGTGAGGCTGAGCACGTGAATGTGTGGAATCTGCAGATTGCGTGCCTATTGAGTTGTGTGCATTACCTGTCCTGTCACTGGAGCACTGTTGATTAGCACAATGTAGGATGTTTGTATCAGGGTTTATATTTTTTATTGCCTCAGGACTAGATCTCCCACGTATATTTCGTCATGAGATATATATTAAGTGGAAGTCTGTATTGTTTTCGATGCTCCATGTCATTTGTTGTATTGAAACACGTTTAAAAACTCTGAAGTAACTTCATGCTTGCAACCCTCGTGTTTTTAGCCATATTTTGGGTCCGTGTGTGTGATGCCTATTTATCTTGTGTTTTACACTTATCAGAGCTTATAAAGTTTTTGTTGAAATATCCAAAGCACTGCCTAAAACGTGGCTTTACATTTGTTTTGTTTGTACTTTGTGTGTTTATATAACGTGAAGTTTATACGGCCCAATGCTTTACACATCCATAAGCCATTGAGAAAGAGTATAGGTGACTTTTACAGGTTTTTGTACTTTTAACTATTTATTTCCAATAAAATTTGTGATTTTTGTTTAAGGGCTCTAAAATACATTTCGCAGCACACTGAATGCCGTCTCATTGATGAGCAAAGAGGATTTGAACTGTTGAACCTTTCCAGTATTCTTTAGTTGCAGGCACACCAACTTCAAGGTTATCCAGATATTCCATTAAGTATTGTCCTTTAAAACAGTATTGTAAAGAGGTCTTCATTTCAGAAAGATTTGTGTATTTTTACCATATTTTGCATCTTTCAAATAAACTGCTGAATTTCACAGGTATGCATGTGCTTGTGATTTTATTGTATGTACTAATCGCAAAGATACACAGGATAACAGCACGTTTAATCGGACTTAATGTAAGGTTATGTTGGTCTTATATCAATTTGTAGTAACATTGCGGGATGTCACTGTATAGTGCCGGCCCTAGAGAGGCATGGCGTGCGATGGAACTGACATCGCGGACACCACTATGATGTGGGTCTAGTGCCGGCCCTAGAGGGGCTCGGTGAGCGCTGGTTGGCATCACGCTTGGCGTGCAGTGCCAGCCCTACAGGATAGGGTGTGGAAGTGCTGGCCGTAGGAAAGGGGTTCCTAAAGCCCATGGCACTCTGGTTTACCCGCTGAGGACATGTGACCGGTTAAGTCTACAAAGGGGCCCCAAGTGGGGTCTAGCGGTGGTCACATGGTCAGGGTCCAGATCCTGCTCGAGGATTCTTGAAGGTGGTCGTGGCCAAGGGTGGAGCCAGCCACGCTGCAGAGGATATAAGCCGGGTCCCCTTGAGGGGCCGGCGTTGTTGTTCATCCTGAAGAAACCTTCGTGTACGTTCTACCGAGTCTCCAACACGTGGACCTGGACCCTAGGTGTGGTCCGGTCTGTAGTAGCTAGTTACGTTTTAATTAGTGTAGTTAGCCTGGTGGTCACCACCTGGTTAACTACACCAGTCACGTTGTAACTAGTGTCATGACTAGTGTAGTTAGCCTGGTGATCACCACCACAGGTTGTTATTCTGTTATGGGGCAGTTATCCCGTGTGTTGGTGTTAAATAAATGTGTTGCCTCCAAGAGTACGTCTGCGACTCATTTGAACTCACTACAAAATTACTATATTTAAACGTTGGTTCTAAAATGTAACTTTAAGTTAACGTTTGTTAAAATATAAATACACGTAAAATAAGCACAATGTGGACCATGAATGTGTAATAAAAGATAGACCTGTTAGAACTGCATGTTATTTAAATATTTTAAACTGGAAGTTGTGCATATTTAGGTTGTTCCAGATTACTTTTCCTGTTATTCATTCTTTAGCATCTGCAATTCCTCCGCCTGTTATGGCAAACGATGTTTCATTTTCTGGAAGATCTGGACTGTAAATAAAACAACAAAACAAAGATCCTTGAAAACTGAAGGTAAATACCCATATTGGTTTACTTGCAACCACCATAGCTATTTCCAATACATCTATAAACAACAAACTGTATCGGTGGAGTGGTGGTGCAACGGTTAGCGCAGTTCTATGAAGTAATAGCACTTGTCAACAACATGTTTTCTTTGAACTGCATTTACCAGCGTAGCAAATTCGGGCACAACAACCTCCATGACCAACATGGCTGTGACAAAGCTGTAAATTAATATCCGTAACTTGATCAGTGTGTATAGTTCTGTACTCTGCCGCATAACCCCACCTGTCATATACTTTTGCGATGCGAATTTCTCCTCTCCCTTTCCTGAGGCTGATGCGCGTTGTGGATGCATGTGCTAATATGTGCCCCCCTATCGGCTTCTTCGGGTCAGCTTGAAAGCTAAAGGGAAAAACAGATGTACATTTTGTAACATTGTCACACTGCACTTTAAAATATATAAGTTTAAAGTGAGCAGTTCTTCTTGCATTTATAACTTTACCTCATTGCGGCCCCTGGATCTGCAGTCATCTGATTTGTGACAAAAATGGCAACGTTGTATTCTGCAAGGCAAAGCATTCATTAAAAAACTTACAACTTGTTTTTGACAAATAACACATTGACTTTGTGTAAGAAGCAAGATGCCGGTTGTGAACCTTCTGAAATCTTCTGCAGCCGTGACAGCATTTGCGCGAGCTTCTGTTGTCTGTCAGCCAGCTCTCCACGCCCAGTGAAATCCACTCGGAAAAGTGCCATGATGGAGTCTATTATCTGCAGCGAAGTCAAGATGGGCATTACTACCTCCCTTGTAAGGTTTAACACAAGAATAAATTGCCTGGTATATTCTGCTGCTCCCACAGTCTCGTCAAGTTAGGTTCTTCCATTCCTGACAAGCTATTGCAATCTGGAGCCTTTTATGCTACCTCGAACAATTGCGCACGACTTGTATTTTACTTTCAACTGAACTGTATATATGTAGCTGCATTACTATTAGAAACGGGCATTTTGTATGACTCGAGCCTGTAAACAACACATTTTCTTCAAAATATATTTCTATGCAATATCAACTTAAACCTTGCTTTCAAATTGAATTCATAAAAGATGTATTCAGCTTAAAAAGTACGAAATTGTATAAGAAAAATTCACAGTACCGTTTAACTTACCAGAAGTTTAAACATTCCTCCCTCCTCGTGGAACTTTCCAGCAACATAGTCCAGCAACTCCATCTGGTGTTCACCTTTAGAAAGGAGCAATATTTGGCTGAAATATTATCTTACCAAATGTCAGCACTTGACACATAGCACAACGGATTAATGATTGTATTCATGTCAGCCATTTAGTAATCATGGTTTTCCAACTGGAGTTTCAACACAATAAAAAAACTGGAGTTTTGAGTCCTCTGTTCTCAACAGGTATCAAATATGATGCCTTTTAAAAAGAAATACTCCCAAAGTACTAACTGGTCAATACGTAAGACATTCCATGGCTAGCAAGATCAATATTACCTCATGGCACCTTCTTTGCCAGTACCAAAATATGAGAATAGGTATTCTCATATTTTTACTGGTATTTTGATAGGTATTCTCATTTTGGTACTAGCTAAGGAGGTCCCATGAGGTCGCTGCTCACCCCGAGCTCTCATTACTCTGATAATGCTTGTCTTCGTGCTGTACGCCTTTTGGCGTCCTCTGGTCTAACACCTTTTGAGACGAGGCTCCAAAGAAAGCTGTCTCTGGTGTGGATCAATCAGTTTCAAAGACAATGCATATACTATCAGAATATGTGTTTTGTTTGCATTCTGACCACAAGTATTGTGGTTAATGCAGACATGATTCCTTGTAAAAGGTTTCAGTTTGGTGTTTTAACATCTTAACACCTGTTTAGTTGCCAGAAAATAGGGGAAAAACCTATTCTCAAGATCAATATTAACCCGTTTAATATTCTGAATTGAAGCTAGCTTACAATTTTGAAGTTGTGGTGCACTTTGGCAAGCTAGAAAAATTACACCATATTTGAAATGTTTTACAGATTCTTAAATGTTTGACACCAAGTTGGCGTGTGAGGTACTAAGGAGAGATACAGATTACAGGAGTTACATCAGAAATCAGTTATTTTAACAGCAAATGTATGTCCATCGGTCCCTGCATAATAGGTTGTATTGAATGGGATCATAGCTGAATAAATAATAACTCGAAAAAATAAATCTGGAAACATTCTAGTCCAGTCCTGTATATCTGTAAATAGATTTTTATGCAGATATTTATCAGTGAACATTCTTACTGGTATAAGCTCTTGCATAGAGGACATTGTCCAGCACAGCATCTGGATCCACATTGAACCGCTCCGCAATGTCCCTCAGACGTTCTGGGCGACTGTCCCACGTGCCAATTAAGGAAGTTTTTGTAATATATATGAAGTACAGTGCTTTATATATGAAAACTCAAAAATAAGTCCGATATTTACAACTTCCTAGAATTTTTTGTCAGGGTATTTCAATGAGCTAATAATCTTAAACCGAACACTCTTTATTTACTTACACATTTGTTAGAGTTATGTGTTGTATGTCTATTTTAAGAGTTTGAATTTTCATTCAAAGTTGTGCTGTCTTAACAAAAATATATATATATTTATCTCATTGAATTTCAATCAAGATGCATACGACTTTTATAAGAAAAATATAATTATCAATGTGACACGATATGGTTTTTGGCAAATACTTTTTCAAACAATACTTTTGGCAGTCGCCTACTGGGCAGTTTAAGTGTGTACATACATTCAGGATAAACAACAAACACGACAATGTTGAGTTTTTAAAGGATACAATGTATTTTCTGTGTCGATAAGGATAACTTTTCCTCCAGCATACCCTTTTGGAGTTGCTAATTGGGCAGTGACTACATTGGCACAATGTTAGTGACATCAATACATATTAAAGTAAAAACATACAATATATTCGTGAAAAAAATGCATTTTAAAACATTAGTCATACCACAGAAGGTATGTGCCATCTGCGTCTTTCCAGTTCTGAATTCTAAAAAATGACAAACATAGAAAATACCTCATTTACTATACACCCTTCATGTGACCATTTACAAAAATACTGCACAGTATACAGCATACGAATAGGTCAAGGTGCAGCTCTGCAATTAATTGCACACACGACTGCTGGCAGTAGGGCCTTCACAAAAGGGAGGGTATTTGGCCCGCTTTTAATGCTGGCCAGACAACTTGGAAGAGGTGGGAGTACTCTCATTTCATCCCAACAATGTCAACCAGCCGAACAACTCACAGTGGTGTACCCGTTTACACTGCTGGGTGTGGACAGCGGCAGGGGGATTTATGAAACTTGCTCCACCAGGATAATGAACGATGATTTATACCCAACCATTATACCATGGCGGCATCCCATACAAAACCTATTTTAATGAATTAACTGATATATTGTTGATAATTGGTTTTTACCCTTTTATCTGGCAACAAAACTGACACCTTTTTTTACAAGGAGTCATATTTGCATAGACCACAATACCTGCAGTCATAATGCAAACAAAAAACATAACTTTGTCTCAGGTGTGGACCAATCAACTTCAATGACAGTGCATACATTATCAGTTATGTTTTTTGTTTGCATTATGACTGCAGGTATTGTGATCTATGCAAATATGACTCCTTGTAAAAAAAGGTGTCAGTTTTGTTGCCAGATAAAAGGGTAAAAAAACAATTATATTTTTTTACTGGCGAATGAGATTCCAATGGTGATATAATGTTACTCCGTATATGTTGCATTGGTACAGTGACTTACCACCAAAAGCTTCCGTTATTGCCATACTTTCAACTCCACCTCCAAGTAGCTTGCTGTATAGAAAAAAAATGAGTTTTATAGTAAAATTATGCTTTTGAACCTTACATTTCATGTATTTATATTTTAATCATGTAAGAACATACGCAAATAAGTGAGCGTGGAAGCTCTTATTTAATATATTGTCTTTTGCTAATTTTCAATAAACGCACTCGAATTCCTGGCTTCCTGTTGAGATGTGGAAAACGTTTTTTCGCTTTTCGCCGTATTCAAGGGCGGTCAGGAATCCTGGCTCCTGTGCATAAGAAGATGTTTACACATAATAGTAATTAACATAAATCAGTTTGAGTGACACTTCCATTATACATTCCATTGCTTCACAATATACTGTACCGAAATCAAATGTTTAAATCTTAATGATAAATTATTGGGCCTGTAATACCACTATGTAACATAATTTTTGTCCCTGGGTAGTAACTGTTATTTTTTAACTGCTTATGCCTAAAAAGTATAGAAAATGGCTATTATTCCCCACAAACTTTGCTTTTGTGACCAGAACAGTGATATTTTGAAATGTACCTATTTTCAATGAGAAAACGGGCAAATTTGTGTCTTTTCGTTCACATAAAGTCAAAAAAAACCAAATATGAATCAAAATTAACATGTATTTATGATAAGGTAATACCAAAATGACTACAAAAGATTTAGAAGTGAGTAGTTTTTCTAGATTTACGATTATACTGTAAATCACTTTCACGAATCAGCCCCAAATGTAGTCTCCCATCATGTTCTCGTTATACTGTCCTTGGTAGCGACGTTCAAAGTCCAGTCTATCCTGGTGGAAGCGCTCGCATTGCCCCTCCGAGTACGCTCGGATATTCTTAAATTTATCAAGATGAGTATCAAGGATATGGACTTTGAAGGACATCCAACAGCCCATTGTGCCGTAGTTCTTCAGCAGTCTCAACCAGCTCCACATAGGTTTCGGCCTTGTGATTGCCCAGGAAGCCCTGAACCACTGTAACAAAGCTGTTCCAAGCCGTTTTCTCCTTACGAGTGAGCTTCTTGGGGAATTCATTGCACTCCAGGATCTTCTTTATCTGTTTGTCCGACAAAGACACTGGCTTTGACCTTTGCCTCAAACAGCTTAGGAAAGAAGTATTGAAGGTACTTGAATGATACTGACTCCTTATCTACATATTCTTAGGTTTTTTCGGTAAAGTCACGTAGGTAAAAAACTAAAATTAATAAAAGTAAAATAAAAATTTAATAAAAATCACGACGTTTCGGAGGCAACACAAGCTTCCGTCTTCAGGTGGAACCGTCACAGCACGACTGCTACATTAAGCTCTGACAAATTGTTTCATAAGGCCCAATATGATGTGTAGTGATGACATCAGCACCTTCCGGGGGTCCACCACTGGCTCCCACTTGACGTTGTTCCTCCCCACAGACAACTCGGTCCGCTGTGGCCAGTCCTGCCTGTGGTAGTGCACTTTGGTGTCCCTGCTGTCCCAAAGGCAAAGATAGCAGGGAAACTTAGTAAAACCGCCTTGGGGACCCATCAGGAATGCCACTATTTTGAAGTATCTGATGACCTCCCAGCCGTACTCTTCATACTTCAAGGCATCCAGCAAGGTCTTGATGCTGTTGTAATCCTCTTTGAGGCGCACCGAGTGAGGCAGGGGAAGAGACAGGTACTTGTTACCATTATTGAACAGCACGGCTTTGAGGCTCCTGGATGAGCTGTCAATGAAGAGGCGCCACTCATTCTGGTTACAGGTGATTCCGATTGCCTCGAACAGACTGGTCACATTGTGGCAGAAGCAGAACCCATCCTGACGAGTGAAGAAGCTGCAAAAAGGTTGGTGATGCTTCCTCTGATCTGCAACTTGCACACTTGCATCCAACAAGTTTCACTGATTGATCCTCGACGTCAAAAGTTCGGCATTGGACTTGGTGAGACCAAGATCTCTGATCAAGTCGTTGAGGTCTTTTTGGTTTGGGTAGTATAGGTTTCTCTCCTCAGCTCCACCTCTGACAACGTCTTCCTCGCTCTCTGACTTGCTGCTCTCTTCTAAAGACGGCTGCTCTCTCTCCAGAGGAGTGGGTACGAGGAGCTCATGGCAGTGTGGCACCGGGGCGATGGATGAAGGAAGGTCCGGATACGTGATAGCAGGTGCATTCTTGCCAGTCCGATGTTTGGAAGGGGTCCACCATGTAGAATTAGCAGTTGCTTGAGTAGGTCAGTGGGTTCCCGGCAAATTCTTGGGATAGCGAACTTCATGGCTCTCTTTTCCCCTCTTTACCATCCTACAAAAATACATTTATTTCACCCATGACTAACGTGTAAGAGATTCTCGCAATATTTTTCATTTTAACACGTAGGCTTTCGCGACCAATATTATTCATAATAAAGGTTTTTGGGTTAGATCATGTTCATTTTTCATATATGATGTTTTTTCAATGACAATGCATATTGTAACATATGTTAAATTAAAAAATTCTTACAATAACATTTTTTTCACAAATTTTATAACGTAACATTCCAAGCAACAATTGTCCAACTTACCTTCCAGAGTTGTTTTGCATTGCTCGCAGGTGAAATTAAGTCCCCAGTGTTTGTCTTAATCCTCGACAGGCATGCCGAAATATGCCTTGTAGGCCTCACACATCTTAGCAGATGCTTCCACAGAGTACTTTTTCGCTCTTGTCTTGATAAATTGGCCGCAGACATAGCAAAATGCATCTGCCAGATGCTTGCAGCCTCTTGATGCCATCTCAGGAAAATGCAGATATGTATCCACTTAGGCAGCTTGAACTAAACTGAACTGGTGGGCTTAAGGCCCCTGTATTTATACTACTATTTATATTACTGGAAAGTTCTAGAATGTTCTAGAAGTTACTCCAAGTTTACTCAGCACTGAATTATCTGGAATTCTCATTGAAAATAGGTAAATATCAAAATATCACTGTCCTGGTCACAAAAGCAAAGTTTGTGGGGAATAATAGCCATTTTCTGTACTTTTGAGGCATACGCAATTAGAAAATAACACTTATTACCCAGGGCCAATTTTTTTACACAGTGTCATTTCTCACCTGGCAATTTTCATGATTTAAGGACAGATTTTTTTTCACAAGCGGTGCAACCTAGCTCCTCAAGCAACTGCAAAGGTTATGCGAATTCAACATAACATAAGAAATCCATATAATAAATTGTCACAGAAGTGACTGATACACGTATTTCGAACTTCAGAATCTATTTAAATTAAATCATTGATACTGAACGATGTATCTTATGGAAAAATGAAGGTGAAAATAATTGTCCTATGTTGTGTGCTTTAAGTAGATGTTACACAATGCTGGTATTTCCACAAAAAAATGTCTGGAAGCAGAGCAAAGTTCACATTCAAGAGAGTAGTGGGTGGGTGGCAGTCTCCTCACGATTAGTTTAGATACCGCCTCCTTAATTTTATCCACTTTTGCCTCCGAGATGCCCTTTATGTTGCACAATGTCTTCCTTGTGCACATCTGTATGCCTTTAATGGTGCAGATCCCCACAGTCTTCAGCTTTTTTATGTCAGCCACATTCTGAGGGTACGTTTAAATATGCATGTTGAATAGAAAATGACACATAAAACAGAAATTATATATTCACAAGTAAACTCTTTAATATTGAGATACAAAATAATTAGGACGGCGTGTGGAGGCCTTCATCCAACAGTGGATAGACCAGGGCTAATGATGCTGACGAATTTCATTGACCAAATATAATTAGTATCCAGCAAAGTCTCATCATGTCACCAAGACATTTTTAGAAAGGCACTGCTTGGGATGTTTAGCCAAAGTACAAGTTTAGGGCAGTGACTTGGCCCAGAGGTAGCATGTTTGCCATTTGTTGCAGAGGTTCACGGTTCAAATCCTGGAGTTGTCCTGGTTATTACTGTGGATATCCATAATAGAGGTTCTTTTGGGTGAGATCGCAGAAATATATAAATGTGTTGTTAAAACATGCCACCACCCGACACAGCCAACTAGTAAGGGTTGTTACGTAAACAGAACATGCCAATTCGTCACTAGTACAGCACCGGTGTGTTGGAGAGCCAAAACATTTACAATCTGAGTACGACGCTTTGCCAGTAATTACCACTTCGTGAGCCTACGTGGTAAATTACAAATAGCTTCATCAGGCGACAGCCAGATTTGTGGAGAAGTCTAACTGTTTCGTTCCTTATATAGAGGCGTAGATGTGGTGACCGCATTTTTGCGCTCTTGCGCAAAGTGGGGGGGGGGGTTACTGAGTCAACCTACATTATGTATGTGCATTATGCAAGCCCTTTGATCTTGTCCATCCTGTCTATTGTGTGTATTACAATAGTCATACCAACGGTAATCCCTATTGAAGTATGGTGCCCTTTATAGGCATGCATTTAAATAATGTAGTATATGATGATTCGCTTCCACGCAGCACTAATTATTTGTATTTATTCCAATTTCGATAGATTCTCTAATTAGTTTTGCACAAAACTTCACCATTATAAAAATTAATTGAGTGTCCTGGGTTGGCACGCGTGTTCTGCTACTGCTGACAGTTGTATTTGGAAGCATTTAATATATCTCAAACGCTCTTTGGTCTCTTGCTGATCATTCGTTCTGTTTGCCCAACATAACATTTTCCACACGTGCAGTTAATCCTGTACACACCTTCTGTTGATAGCTTCGGTAATCCATCTTTTGTACCAGATATTCATTTCTGTATTTTATGTACCGTGCCAAATCTGACTCGGATGTTTTGTTTTTCCAAACATCTGGCTAGTTTATCAGTTACTCCTGCAATGTACGGTATTTTATCGTTTTAATTACTTGGGCAGTTTCACTGATATTTGATTTGGTTTTGGCATTCAATGCCCTGTTGATTTGTGCTGTGGATATATTAACCAAAAATATGTCTGCTTCATGAGACGATATTCTTCCCTAACATCATTCGCAAGAGCGTACGTTTCCCTCTCTTTTTTGTGGTAGATGAGTTCCAAAATAGGGGCACACTACAAAACAGCTGCCGGCTGAGTTGCACATACAGTACACACAATGTTGTCCCACGTCCGACCGCATATGAGTGAATTCAAACCGCATACTGGATAACAAATTTTGGTAGCCGCATATATGCGAAATCGCACAAACAGAACCCAATAAATTGAGGAAAACTTATAAGCCACTGTGTCATGGTCCAAATTTGAAAAATTACCCACAAGGTAGATAAATTACCTAAAATTTGTTAACTTTCTTGGTTAAAAAGCGTAATTTATTGTACCCAGAGAAACTCAAACTCCACAGTCTGAAACCCAGTTGTTGTACTGTAACCACAGACAACTCATTGCCTCATAGTATCATACCTTAATCTTTGCAAGACTCACGAAAAATACAAAGCAAATTTTGAAATACTTACTATCCCATGCTTTTGCAACATATCGATATCCTGGAAAAACGAATCCTGCAGAACAGCACACACAGTAGGTACGATGATTAGGTTTGCAGACATGTTCGGTTTACATAGATCGGGGGTTGCGGAATGTTTCGTACCTTTGGCGGGCCAACCTTTATGGGGCCACAGAAGTGGCTGTGCACGCTAAAGTGAGAAAAAATATTGCCAGATGGAAATATCTCCCTCTTCCCTCTCGTACCCAATCGGTGCAACTAAGATGCTTTGCGATGGCAGACAAATATTGTTTGCGGGCCATTTTATGAAGCGGTAGACCTTGTGAGGCCGTGCGGGCCGTGTGAAACGAAGTAGCGGGCTCAAGTGTGGCCCACGGGATTTAAAGTTCCCCTGCCCTGACAGACAAAGATAAACTGTCTTAGGTTCTTGTTCTTGTCGTACGGCTGATGTAGATGCAGAGCAACAAATGCAATTTCACATTCAGGTGGTCAAGCCAGATAACCGTGTCAGGAGCAACAGCAGAGATGTATCGCTGTGATGTCTCCTTCGTATTTGTGGATCGGGGCATTGTGTTGTTACGGTCTGTTCTAGGTGACCACAGTCGCGCACACTGTAGGGACCTCTCTACTTACAAACATTCGACTTAAAAACTTTAAGAGATACGGACAAACCTGTCTACATGTCCAGTTGCCTGTTCTGACTGAGAATCGTAAGTTCAACCACCACGCAATAGATGGTGGTGGTAGTATCTACATCTGTAGAACGTGAATAACCAGTGCCATCTACATCTACTGGAGAAAATACTACTTTTAAAGCCATTCTCCGTGTTTAGTGTACATGCCGTACAACATGTTTGGAATCGACAGCAGTAAAGTTGGACTTACGAACAAATCGACTTACGAACAGACCTCTGGAACCTAACTCGCTTGTAAGTATAGTAGCCCCTGTACTGGAGAATTTTTTTTATTTTCCATTCGTGCATGGGCTATCCACGATCTGAGGCCATGGCCTAGGGTTTTTATCGGCGCTGCTGAAATCATCGCAACGGCTGTCACCTCTTCGCTGTTGTGGAGGTCCACCTCTTCATCCAGCGCCTGTTCCATCATGGCCAGAGAGGAGGGCACGGCAGCGGTGACACAAGGGAATGTCCAAATCCTAATCTCTCCCTTCTCCTCCTGAATGCGCCTTTCTTCTGAAAAGGTAAAAAGCAGGGCAGAAACGTGAATCGTGAACGGGTGCATGAATGTGTGACCCCAACAAACGTTGAGCTGGGTGTTGACATCGTGGGGGAAAATTGGGTAGCGCTGAATTAGAATCAAATTTATTTTCCCGCAGGAGGAATCTGATGAGCTGTCATACCTTACAACCCATTCGGTTGACCCGTATTTTTGTACAGGGAAATTGAGTTTTCAGGTCCATACGGCATACAGCCGTTTCAATACGGGAGACAAAACAATCTATTTGTTTGCGTGTCTCCCTTGTGATGGGATTTTTTAGGATGAACGTTGAGATTTATAAGGGCACGGGGTGACCAATAAGGTCTGAATTGGTCTGTAATAAGGTGAGGGCACTGATAAGGGGTTGACAGGTATGAACTATGAAGCTAAACACATGATAGGAGTGCAAAGTACAAGGTAAATAAATCGTCCAAACACATACAAATACACGACTCAATCATCCCCATCCTACAAGACAAAGCCCGCTGGACCGTGACTTTACACAAATGAGATCCTTAGATAATTAAAAGTAAACTTTTATTCACAGCAAAGTGATTTTTGTTTATTTTGAACCGTCATGTAAACGCTATTGTCCACGGTCAATAGCATTGTATTGACTTTAACAAGACACTAAGAGGAAAAACAGCAGTTTATATACAATTACATTGTTTGAGAAATACTGCAGTGGCTGACCACTTGAAAATACTTCAAAGGATTGGTGAAAATATAATTTTAAACTTAAATTATTGCCAAATGTCACACCTCTGCAAACGGTGAATTGTGAAACTATATTGCTTGCATTTCGATTTAAAGCTTTCGTGACTGCAGGGATTCATCTTCTTGGTTCTTTCGGTAAAGTCACGTAGAAGAGTCTCTGTCGCCTCGACGGACCTGGTTTTCACCTGAGGACGGCTGCTTGCGTTGTGGCCGAAACGTCGTGAGAATTGTTTTATTATGTTTTATTTTTATTATTTTATTACTTCCCTTCTACGTGACTTTACCGAAAGAACCAAGAAGATATATTGCTTGCATATGTGCATTTTATGAACATTGATGGATTCTACAATGGTAAAACAACAAATGTAACTGTACGTGCTGTATTGTCATTGAGGGACAATGTACATACTAGATGTAGAAATAACGTATTGTCAATAACCCTTTAAAGAATACACGACACTTTTTCAATTGGAAAGCTTGAAACGTAATGAACATAGAAAATATATATCATTATTAACATAGTAGTGTAGAAACCAGAGTAAACTGTAATCTTTTACGAACACCTTTCCTAAGTTTAGTCTCCCAAAATCCATAACTTTAGAATTTAAGTATAACACGTAGGCTTTCGCGACCAATATAATCCATCATAGGTTTTTTTGGGTTAGATCGCGCAAGTATATAAATGTGTCGTTAAAACCCTCCACCACCCGACGGGGCAACGAAAATGCGATCGAAACGTCGTGATTTATTTTATTTTATACCTACGTGACTTTACCGAAATAACCAAAGAGTATAGTAAGGGTTGTCACGTAAACAGAACATGCCAATTCATCATTACGCGATCTAACCCAAAAAAAACTCTTTTAGAATTTAACTTTCTTTACCTCAGCAAGCATCACACATATATATTCGTAATAAATCTTTGTACGCAAACTAAATACCATGAATACACTGCTGTTATCGCGCTGTACAATTAAATGTTGATATGCAAGGATATATATTTTTTGACATTACAATAATAGTGTAACAATAAATAACGGAGTAAATTACATTTTTACCTCAGCCACCAATCGATTATCCCGCTTTGGCGCGAGCGTCAACGGAAGAGGGGCGGGGCGAAGGGGGGTTGAGGGGAGGGGCGTCGTGTGGGCGGGAGGGGGAGGGGCTGGGTGGAAGGTAAAGGGGGAGGGGCGGGGTGTGGGTGGGAGGGGTTGGGTTGAAGGTAAAGGGGGAGGGGCGGGGTGTGGGTGGGAGGGGTGGGGGCATGAGGGGGAGGGGTTGGGTCGAAGGTAAAGAGGGAGGGGTGATGTGTGGGTGGGAGGGGTTGGGTTGAAGGGTAAAGGGGGAGGGGCGGGATGTGGGCTGGAGGGGTGGGGGCATTAGGGGGAGGGGTTGGGTGGAAGGTAAAGGGGGAGGGGCGATGTGTGGGTGGGGGCATGAGGGGGAGGGGTTGGGTTGAAGGTAAAGAGGGAGGGGCGATGTGTGGGTGGGAGGGGTGGGGGCATGAGGGGGGGGGTTGGGTCGAAGGTAAAGAGGGAGGGGCGGCGTGTGGGCTGGAGGGGTGGGGGCGTGAGGGGGGGGTTGAGTGGAAGGTAAAGGGGGAGGAGAGGTGTGGGTGGAAGGTGGGGGGCGGGGGACAAGTTGGATGACGCTGATTGGCTGAAACTAGCGCGAAGCCCTCCCCCCATTCCAGACTGCTCACCGGATTGGTCGACGGCTCGACCTCAACGGTCCGCGGATGCGGGCTCATTCAAGCGAACCACGTGGGTTTTAATTAATCGCAAATGCGCTAATTGTTGCAGCTCTGAGCAGAGTACTGAAATTAAAATTATTATTAATTGGTTTCCACTTTATATAAACAAACACTAAACACATTCGTCAGTAACACTGTCCTCTAACGAAATGTGTGTATATAAAACGGGCGACGTTTTGGGCAATGGCCCTTATCCACTGCTCATGGCTGTCAACCCAAACTGTTCACCCGGTACTCTTTGGTTCTTTCGGGTAAAGTCACGTGGGTATCAAATAAAATAAATCACGACGTTTCGGCCGCAACACAGGTGGGAAAACATGCTTCCCTACCTGATGACGGATGCTTGTGTTTCGCCCGAAACGTCGTGATTTATTTTATTTTCTATCTACGAGACTTTACCGAAAGAACCAAAGAGTATGGATTCCTACAGTCACGAAAGCCTCAAATCAAGATCGGTTTACTCCGTGTTCTTGTCCAGGGAAATTGAGTTTTAAGGTCCATACGGCGTACAGCCGTTTCAATATGGGCAACAAAAATTGTGTCTATAGGTCGTCCATATATGACGTCACGCGATTTTTGACCCCCCCCCCCCCTCGTCACACGACATCACAAAAAGTCAACCCCCCACCCTCAAATATGACGTCACAAAGCTCTGCCCCCCCCCCCCACTCTCACACTCCCTCCTGTAGGAGTCAGCACTACACGCCACGCGTGGTGCCACTGAGCGCTATCCCAGCGCTCACCGAGCCCCCTCTAGGGCTGGTACTACACCCACCTACGGGGCGTCCACGATGGCAATGCATCGCACGCCGAGCCTCGCGAGAGCCGGTACCACACAGTGCCATCTGATATGTCACTACACATATTTACGCGATCTAACCCCCCCCAAAAAAATCCTGTATTATGAATGCCAACTTGTGTTTATAATCACAAAAATAGAATTGAGCTACTTGGTGCTCGTGGGCTTGAAACGGTGTTTTTTTTGTGTGCTGCATGTACAGTAACATTGTATAATAATTCCCTCCCCTCCTGGAAGTCTACGGCGCAGATTAAGCGTGCACGTACTTAAATCGTCACGTGTTCAGACGTTGAATGTGTTCCTAACATCGCAGGAATGTGAGAGATAGCCGTGGCTTGTGAAGGTCATCCAGCAATGGATTTACAAAGGGCTGTTCTTAACATTTGAATCAACCACACTTGTGTATGTAGACCTCAAAAACATGGCCTTTTGCTGGTAAAAAAGGTCAAACGGCAGCGGATTTTCCATTTGTTATTTATTAATGTTTGTTAATCACAATAGGAATCCTTACAAGTAAAAACAATACAGCTTAAGCAATCAAAATATTAAATCTTAAGAATATCCAGCAACCCCATTCTCTATCTAAAACTTGGTTTACTTTCATATTAAGCCGAGCCAAACCATAACTGACACCTTTAGTAGCAACAAGATTAACGCGTGTGGCATGGAGTAATGTTACACGTTTCAAACAAACAAAAAGTACACCTCATTTAAACGATTAATATGGATTTTCTATAATTCAACCTCTGAAAAACTATTACGCTAATATCTACGGAGAACGAAATCAAACTGCGAGTAAAGCTGAAATAAAGAAGTAGGTTATGGTATCGCTCAGTTTAGTTTCATCGTATGCAAAACGCCTTAATTAAGATATGCTAAAAAAACATAAAAAATATGAAAACGGGCGATTAAACCATAGAAAACAGCACTTCAAGTAATAAATCAAATACCACGGTGTGAAAACCCAGGGGTGCCCAACTCCTTTGTGACGTCACCAGACGTGTTCCTGAGCGCTGAGGAACTTTGAAGAAATAAAAAATCAGAATCGAGGCGACGACGAATACACTCGTGCAGCAAACCGTCGAGTCTCAAGAAAGTGGGCACGTGCTCAAGGCCTGCGGATCCAGCGCTGTTGGTGGATCTTCCAGAGGTTTGTGAAACATCCAAACCCACTGGGCAGCTGCCACTTGGCCCGGAGATGGTAGTAAAGTGTGTTCATATACCCGATTGTGCGGCACCTTTTGAGTGTTGGGCTGCCGTATGCCAAGTGGGTTATTTCCGGGAATTCCGGGTTCGTCCCCCACACAAAGCAGGACACTTGAAAAGTAGTAGTAGAAGAAGGCATTGCAAAATGTATACGGTAAGTCATTCAACGCATGTTCACACAACACCTTGCTATAACGCGGTGATTCCACAAAGGAACACTTTTCATGGAACGCTCCCCGTTATCGCGCAGAACGCGTCTGTTATAATGCGGAACGCGCCTGTTATAACACGCTTTTTGAGCGGTACGATACAGTATGTGGAATGACAGTGACGCGGTGGCGTACCCCAAGTACATCGCATTGCGCGAAAGTTTAGTTTTTACATCATTTATGACGAAATGTTTCCGTTAAACGCGCTCTCCGTTTAACGCCGTACTTTTCAGGAACACATCAACAGCGTTAAGCGAGGAATTGCTGTATGTGGAGAGGTTGGTAGCCTACTTGCTAGGCCGCCATTTAAGCATCAAGCATGCCGTTCACACGATCCACCTTCCCACCTTCAAGGCACGGCATTCAAGGCATTTGCCGCCACCTTTGCGAATATATTGTAATTTTTGAGCGACCTCTGTATTAATTTAGCTCGGTTTGGTTTATGCACTGATTGTGCGGGTATGTGCCTATTATGGATTGCAATTAAGAGACATGATTTACATTTTCGTAAAAAATTTAAATAATCTACGTGGATGGCACTCATTTGTTTAAGTTAGTGGCTCCTCAGGCAGTGATGAAAACTCCACATTCCTATGATGGGATCAAGTCTATCCATGGGAAAACCACCATTGAAATATGCGTAGCCTGGAAAACACTCTTTGCAAAGGCTTCTCACAGAAACCAATTAAGCATTGCTCACAACTTGTGTGTTTGACACCCCTGTTATCGCATTTTGGCACAGCATTATTGATCACAGCGAGATGCATAGGTCTGGGTCTCGGCAGCACTGTACGTTGTCCGTTAGCGGCGGGGGGTGAGGGAAGGACAGAGAGGAACACACAATTTTGTTTGCGACGCATGCAGCGGATGCCTGTTTCGAAGCTGGAATCCGATCCCGTCAACCAGATTCCCCGGCCAACTGAGCATGGAACATATTCAGACTGCGCAGGTTTGTAGCGGCGGGTGTGGGGAGGGCACAACTAAAAATCCAACACAATATATTTAAAACCAGGGTTGGGTTGAGCCCCCAGGTACACAGGGCATTTGCTTGATGGCTACGAAAGTTGGACCACCACAACTCCTATTTGCCGCTCATCATATAAATAAAATTACGTTTTTGGCCATCAATTCATTGGGTTTCCAGACCCCAGCCTGACTGCTGATGAGCGAGGCCGAGCAGGCTGAAACCCGTCCATAGCGTTTGCTTGCTTTAACAAATGTTACTTGATAATATCAGTCTGGAAAGCCAATAGGGTGATGGTTTTAGACATTTGTTGTAATTATATGTGGAGGGACACGATGGAGTTCTTCTTTTAAATTTGTCAGCCGATTGGAGCTGACAGTTGGGCCTAGGGTCCGTTAATGGCCGGACTCACAGGCTGGTTTATTGTAAATGTTTCAGGTTGGCCCGGTGACGAGGGTTGCCATCCGTCCCTAAATTATTCTGGACACTACATATATCAGACGGTTCTCCAAGTCACTACTTTGACTCTTAGCGACTCCAAAATATCTCGCGTGATTAAGCATCGTTATCCAAAAATCCTATTTGTCAGGATATGGCACTTTGAATGAAGTATTAATACATCTGAGTGAGGTTTTTGTGTGTGTAAAAGGTGGAAACCCTTACCGATGGCTCAATGCAACCTTGCTTTCATACCCCAGGAAGGGTCTGTGTGCATACAGCTGCCTGATGCAAGGGTCATACAGAGGCCACAAATATTACAGAGAAGGCTGTTCTTATACCACAGCTTCAGGCGTCATAGCAACGGTTATAATTTTCAAATAAGGTGAAAAATGAACACGAAATTATAACTGGTGACGTCACTAGATATGCCATGTATATAGACAATGATCCCCCTATCGCCTTTTTATACTGTTGGGGTAAGTGCTGTTAGCGAGTACATTTTAAGGGCGGCGGCAACGCATACCAAGTCGGTGGTGTGGCCTGCACCACGCCCCGACTGCCTTTTTCTCCCCAGCGCTAAGCTTTTACACACACCGCCACCAGGTAGGTACTCGTTTAACGCCAACTATACCAGGTCGCTGTACATAATACCTGCCCACTGTTGGGCGGGCTTGCAGGGCACTGTGGGATCTTTTCCTAGAATGCTTTATCTCCTGAATACGTTCCACTTGGGCGTTATTTGATTCGGGCGCGCTGCGTTTGTCCAGTGGCACGAGTTGGGGGGAGGGGGGCGAAGAAGTTGCGGTCCCAGCAGCGGGCGGAGGATTCATGGCTTGTGCTTGAAGTACGCTTCCACTGCGCAGAGAGAGAGAGAGAAAAAAGAGGAAGGCGTTTCACCCCGTTACTTTAATACGCGTTCGTATTGATGTATGTATGCATGTTGGAATTGTTTCGCACCGTACATAGCCAACCCTGCTCATCGGAGGTGTTAATTACTGTAAGGGACTGCAATGGCTTGGGAAGACCGTCATCCAACAGTGAAATGATGGCTGTTGATAATGATTGTTAATGCTCTTTGGCCAATAGTGGTGCAGCAGCATGCGGTGTGGATTGGGCTGTGAACCCATCAAACCTGAGTAGGATTGCCGGCCACGGGTAACATCAGTGGCAAGTGATCAATTGGTTTTGGTGCCCCCCCCAACACACAATAAAAAAAAAAGTGAAGTTATTTATATGAAAACAAGTCACATCAGTCTGTGCCGATGCAAAATAAGTCCCACTCACCTCTACGGATCGCGGTTTGCCGTCCGCATAAGCATTACAAATAATCCACCAACGGTGTGCCGCAGATTACGGGAGGAGTATGCCGCCAACAATCCACGAATTGCAGGAATCACCGGACTATTGGGAGCACGGATTATTCGAGTCCTGCTGTGACAGAGGTAGGCCTTACTGACGTAGTCCTGCGGGCACATGCTGCGACCGATGATGCTCTTGAAGGCGCTGATCCATTCCTGCTGATCCGCCTCCTTCTCACACGCGAACAGGAAGCCACGGTCGGGCGTGGTGATGGTGATGCCGAACTGCCACCGGTAGCCCTGCGTGCCGCCGGGCAGGCCCTCCTGCACCGAGTAGCCGTGGTCCGAATGCCCGAGGAACACCTCGCCCTTGGCAAACGCATCCTGCGTACGTACGGGTGTACAGATGGACATACAGACGGGCGGGTGGGCGGGCAGTTAGGCGTCGATGGTAGTCACAGCAATGCACATGTAGTGAGTGAAAGTATTGAGAGCTCTTGCCATTGACACCTGCCCAAACCGGCAGCATTTGTTTAACAAGCATGACTGCTAAGTTTACTGTGGAGACAGCCCTACTCAGTCTTAAGATGCCAGCACACATTGGCCTACTCTTCTCTGAATGACATAACAGGATCTTTAAGATCCGCTGTGAAATAGACGGTGCGTATGTTATGGGTAATACACCTGCAGCAGTAACTAGGGGAGCCTCTGCAACAAGCTATGAACGCACCTTGATAAGACCGACAAGACCAAAGACCCAAAATCCCTCCACAGTTTCTTTTAAACGCATGCTGCTTGATAAGCCAAAAGGCTGATGAATAATTTAATTGCATTTATTTAATTTATATATGGCACCATAAAATGGAGCTCTAAATGTATTTGCCTTTACCATAAATGCTTCATGGCAACGCATGTTGAGTTTGCATATGATATTTTGATCAATGAATCGGTGGACTGTTACGTGCCCGATTACTTAGACACACAGAGAACAGGCCGATGTAGTCGTGAAGAGATGAAGAGGGTGGCTTTACCAGTGGGTCCTTAAAGTACATGAGGCGACGGTCGGCTGCATCCAGAGTACACCACCTCCTCTTGAACCCCTCCCTTTGCTGCGAAATATATACATGTACATATGTTGAATTTCACACCATACGTAACCAACTACGCTTATTGGAGGTGCAGAGGAAGGACAACAAACCAAATACAAAAAGCATCGCAACAATAAATCTAGCCACGTCGGTAGTCGGTTAAAGCCAAATTAGCTCCGGTTAAAAACATCGACGAACACTACCAATGGGTGACTACGGCGACCCGTCCGAAACAGAACCGTCATCTCGTGGAATGTTGAGTCATCATTTCGTCAGGATTCCCAAGTGTGGCATTTTGGAATAATAAGGAAATTATAACAAAAACTATTCCTTCCTGTGCCTGATTTTCACCGTTGTTTGTGCGACCAGGAATACAATTGTAAGCGAATAATCGTCCAGCAATTTGCAACCACACTATAAGATCTCCTTTACCAATCAACTTCAAGGACAGTGCATATCATTATCATCATCAGAGTTGTTTCTTTTTGTTTGCATTTTGACTTCTTGTGTTGAGGTTATTGCAAACATGATGCCTTGTATAAAGGTGTCAGATTTTGTACCAGTTAAAAGGGTAAAAACCTATTACTAAATTTGCAACCAGTTTTGGGGGATTTTAATGCAGTACCACGTTCGCAAATCTGACCTTTGCACACTCAGTAATGTATTCTGTATCTCACGAACAATCACTTCTCAAATACAGGAAAACATTTTCAGGAAAGGAGGGTAGTTTCCCCCCCCAGTAACCTAAGGGTGGATGATGCAGATATTAATTTGCATAAGCGTTCACACATCTGAATATTTAGCAAATCCGCCTATACCTCATTCTCCAGAGAGCGCAATACGTCACGTACTGTTCAACAGTTCGGCAGCGGATTGCACTTCAGCTGCTGGCATGCCTTACCCTTGGCCCTGTCTTCTCCATGTATCCTTCTTTGATGTAATTTCTGGAGAGTTTTTGGATCAACTGAAAAAGAGAAAAGTTGTCAATTGACATCATAATTTACGGGGTACACGATACCGTGGCAGACTCTGCAAAACAAATCTGGGGCTGTGTCGGCGACTGCCAAATCTTACGTTAAAAGAATGTAAAAAGAATTGGGTTAACATCTGTGTTAACAAAATGGGTTTCCTTGAGGTCTTCGAAGTAGAAACAACGGCAAGCATTTAGACGGGACCCTCTGTGTAAACAGATGGCATTATTCTATGATGGCAAAATGTTAAATACTGCACCCGGTATACAGAAGGTCATGGTTTCGATCTTGGCCCCTGACACCTGTACATTTGGCGTTTGAACACTCTCCCCGTGGTCGCGTGGATTTTTCTCCGGTTCCTCCGGTTTTCCCTTCCACATTCAGAATCGACGTGCATTCAGAGTATTTGGCTGCAATACATTTCCACGCGAGAAGCCAGTTTGTTGAGCTATCATTTGTGAACAAGAGCTATATAGCCCCGAACCTCTGATTAGCACGGTTGGCTACGTACTGTGCGAAAGAAGTTCTACATACGGTACATGTCTACAGTGGGCCTTACCTGGTAAAATAAAAAATAGTTTAGTTTTCGTTTTTATGTTTCGCTATCTTGCACTCACATCCGCGTCTTGGCTTCCGGGGAACGCCACCTTGTGGTAGTGGAAGCGCGCAGCTCGGATAGCGTTGTACCAGTCGACGATTTCCTGCCGCCGAGACAAACGCACACCACGCGAGAGGGCACACAGAGTCCCGATTAATTATTATTATTATTCAAATTTCCATTGAATCGCTGAAATAAGAACAGACGGAGAGCAAGAAATACACCTAGACGCTTCATCCACGAATTCAACTTCATTAGCGATTGTAAGTGTGAGTTCTCAATCAAATAAGATGGAAAAATGGGGCAGGGTTTCCAGCCTTCAGGATGTGTAATATGGGGACGCCCTCTGTTTTTAAAGGGGCCCCGACTAATGAACCACGAAGAAAATAGCCCCTTACAATTATCGACCTAGAAACATGATTTTCAGCGTCCCAACTCGGCGGCGACCACGCAAACGGCCAGAGTTCGCTGATGCAGAGAGTTTGACCACGGCTGGGGCTACGAGGGCTTCTGCTCACGACCACCGACTCGTTGACGTGTGAGGTGCTAAGTTTGTGGAGCAGCCGGCGAATACGAGAGTCCCTCGGAAATCGACACTCGCGAATAATACACGGCCCTATTTTTAGATTGGCAATCCGCGACACTCAATTTTCACAAACGTTAATCGGCGTGGCATTGTTGGAATGTGGTCACACTCAATACGTTCTTGCATAACAGGCAGAGAGTGCTAAACGTTTAACACTTTGCTCAACACCAAAAAAAACTAACTGACGTGATCGTGTTTTACGGATTCCGCCGATGATGAATCCTGTCTGTAATCTCGCACGTTGTTTCGCGGTGTGACAGGTAAATTTTGGCAGGGGAAAAAAAAAAGTGGCTGACGAGAAAAAATATTACCGTGCGAGATCTATGCCTTTCCGCCTCTAGCGTCGCCGTTATCACTGAGGGTGCACCGATGCCCACGACAGGTGCGGAAACTCCCACACCCGCCCATTTTATTGTTATTTCACACCAAATGATCTGTCTCATTCCTCTTCTCCTTTTCATTTCCATGTTGTATGTCTATCTGTTGAACTTCTTACACACCGTACGTAGCCAACCGTGCTGATCGGAGGTGCCGGGAAATGACAACAAACTAAATACAAACAGCAGTTCTAAAGAAATAATTTTTTTATCTCGATGATATAAAAGTGCATAGCTCCAGTAGCTTTCAAATATTAGAAGGAAGAGCATTCCAGACGGCCGCAGAAGCGCATCTGAAAACGTGCGATACAGTGACTGCCTTTGTTCGACGGCCAGTCAAAAGCCGTGGCGAGGATGACCGGAGTTTGCGTGATGGTTTATCTTCCTTGATGAGATCAGCAAGGTATTGTGGTTCATATGAGAGGATTCATTTATGAACCACAATATCAACTTCGTAATTACTCCAACGGAGCTTCTTATTGAATATGACGCAACGTGGATTCATACAGTTGCATCTAAATGCAACCACACTTCTAGGTGCTGTGCCAAAACGGTGGTTGAAAATCTGATGAAACTAAACGTTTTGTCAAGATGAGAATCTGGTCCTTTGACAAAACAGTTATTGCCAAGCTCCTTTTTCCCTTCACATTACATAGGCAGGTAACGACGTGGTAATTCATCTCTGAAAGTATATTCTTACACTTACAATAAATGACACGGTTGCACCCGAGTCAGAAGCCACATGGCTCACAATTAAACTGAAAACTGAAACTGACACATCGACTCATGCGTGCTACATACAATCAATAATTTACGATTTATAGAAAAGACGTGCAAATTATACGCGAATGTTACATGTTGCATAAACTATTGGAGCGACAAAACTGTCCAAGCGAGACACAAAACCGAGAATATAAACGAGACGAGAAAGTAAATAGATTCTGATAGAGGGATTGTGACTGCAAATTGCAATGATTGGTCGAACCGCGACGATTGGCAGGCGAATCGCTACAATTGGTCGAACCGCCTGGCAGGTGAATCACTACAAATGGTCGAACAGCTGGGCAGGAGAATCGTGATGCACGTCGGAACTTTCCTCGCACCACCGCGATGCTTGCGTCATGGCAACGGAGGCCCACGCGCCTACGCACCTTTCCTTCCTCGTGGTAGATGAAGATGTTGCGGGTGCTGAAGTCCTTCAGGTAGGTGATCTGCAGGCCGTTGGGGTTTCCAATCTTCGTCGGTTGGAAAGTGGGGTTGATGTCCGCGATCTTCACCGTGGCTTTGGGCTCCTTGCCCTGGAGCGACAAGAGGTCACGGTGGGGGTGGGTTGGGGACAGGACATGTGGCAGATATGACGTATGGGTTGTGTGCAGCGCCCTTTGGTGAACGAGGACCTTTTTCAATTTTCCATTGCTCAGTTTCTCCGAGAAAACGAGACAAACATTTTTTAGCATTAATCCCAACGCAGTGGTTTTCCTATGGATTGACTACACCCTGTCACAGGACTGCAACCCATCGTATGGAGACTCTGGCCACTGCCAAAAGGGGACAAACACGGGGATACATATATACATTTTACATTTAAGACAAGTCATAGATGGAGTGTGTGTGATGCCCCAGACACTTGCATCAAACTTGGTGAAGTACTTCAAGCTGCCCTCCTTCTCCGACAGAATGAACTTCCTCTGCAGGAACTGGCCGTTGTCACGGCCCCTCTTCCACAGCACGCCTTCCCTGTAGCCTGCAGCACATCATCGTCACCGTGAGCCTTGATCAATTCACTGCCAGCCGTACCTTTCTTCATTATTGACGACTTGCAGCTCAGCACACGGCAGATACCTGCGCAGCACGACTCACGACCTCCTCTTGATACCAAGATCCAGGATGGTCACGTCTATGCGCCGCTTCTCGGTGGCAGCCCCAACAGTCTGGAACGTAATCCCTCTGCACATTCGCAGCATCACCTCAATTGCCTCCTTCAAGAGACACTTAAAAACTCACCTCTATAACCACGCTTTCGAGCGACTCTGTGCTTGGCTCCGTGCCTCTGAGTTGCGGCCGTTACGTCCGCAAATTTGCACGTGTTAGAAATTGCATTATTATTATTCCATGAATGAGCTGATCTCATTTCCCCCCCAATCTTTGTGTTGGTCGTCCTCTCAGGCACGGTCCTTCCACTGGCTTCTGCTCCCATCGTTATTCTCCCCCACTGGCCATCGCCCCTTTCATTGGTCAAACTTTGCGCCAGCTTTGACATTTTAAGTTCCTTCAGCAGGATGTGTGATGGCCTGTTAAGCAAATGCTGCCAGTTGGCTGGACTTTACATACAGTTATTTTCGTTGACTTACAGTGCTGTAGGGAAGCTGTGCCACGTCATACTCTCAGACGTGATAGAAGAATCGCACTCGAAGAAAGAGAACAACTCGGAGGCGTGAGGAGGAACCAAAGATGAGCTGCAAGGCAGCGGCCAGGTGGTAAGCCAGTACCAATTTCCCACCCCCATCAAGCTCTGCAGTTCTCTACTTATTAAGGTGGTATAGTATCAGCCAATTAATGTTTACATGAGCATTGAACAGTTCGTGTCTACCATTTCTGGACTGCCTTAAACTAAACTTTTTATATTTTACCAGGTAAAGTCCACGGAGCTATATAACTCTTTTTTCAGAAGCGATCTGGCCACAAATGATAGCCCAATGAAGTGACTTATCACGAGGAAATGTATAGCAGCCAACCTGCAAATATACAGGTGTCAGGATTGGGGTTAAACCCACGACCTCCTGCATACCAGGCGAGGGAGTTAACATCTCATCACCGCGGCGGCTTTTCCTGGCAGCCAGGATATGGCTCATTGATGCCCAAAAAAAGGGAATTTATAGCATTTGTGTGATGCACCAACCCTCGCCTTCACTTTTGCTGGATGACAGGCATGCGCTACCAATGCCCAGATATTCGAGGCCTCTGGATGACTTCCTTTAACCTCCGAATTCTTCTACTGCAGAATAGTCCATGGTGCATTCCGTTCCCGTCTACTGAACGTGTCCGTCATCAGCATCAACAACCGTGGTCAATCTACCGCTGGATGAAACCTCCCCAAGCCGTCGCCACCTCCCACGATCCATCCATGCAATAATCCACTTAGCACCTTTGTGAACATCATTTGATGTCATTGCTCCATCTCCTCGGTGAGCGTGCTCTCAGACCCGTTCAGCTTCTTGGCTGTTGCGTCATTACTATTTCTTGACCATCGGCCATCATCCCTTCTAAGCCGTTACGTGCCCTGCTCAAGCCCGCTGACCTCTCTTAACAGTTTGAAGGATGTAATTGACCCGCGATCATTCTCGAATGATGCGTTCCTCTTCCCGTCTGTCAGTGTCATTCCTTGAGATAATATTTTGCCACCGCTGAGAAAATTGTGCAAAGAACCTGCCAACCCAAACACTCGCGCCCGTTCAGGCAAAGGCCGAGAATTAAACGTTAGAACCCCCACCATCGCAGCAGTGCCGATTCCAACGCTTCTAAAAAAAACGGGAATTAGCATTTTGTTGCCAAGGTCACACAGGATAGCCTCCGTCCGGTCAACATTGACAAAAGACACCGCCGCTGTGAGCCCCTGGCACGGGACCCAGAAATTCTGGCGCGCGTTACGACATGGTCTTGATTTCCAATGGCGAAGGAGGACACAGCGAGGGGCGAGTGTAGTCACCTGCCGAATACGGCTCCTGCCGGTCGGTGAAGATGAACTCCTGCCGCTCGTACTTTGCTCTGATCCACTGCTCCCGCACGACTCTGGTGACGGGATGGGAGGGGGGGGGGGAAAGGATGAGTGACTCCGTGAATGTATGCATGTATGTACGAATTTCTTTCGCACCGTACATAGCCAAACGTGCTAATCGGAGGTGCCGGGAAAGGACAATAAACTAAACACAAAAAGCTATTCGAAAGAAATGAGCTTTCAATCTAGATGATTAAAAAAGTACATAGCTCCAGTGGTTTCGTAATATCGGAAGGAAGAGCGTTCCAGACGGCTGCAGAAGCACATCTGAAAATGCGCGATGTGGTGACCGTCTTTGTTGTTCAATGGCTAGTCAGAAGGCGCTGCGAGGATGACCGGAGTTCGCGTGGTGATTTATGCTCCTTGATATCAGCAAGGTATTGTGGTTAATATGTGGCAAGAACTTTGTGTTTCGATTCAAATCTTTCGTGACTGCAGGGATTCATATTCTTGGTTCTTTCGGTAAAGTCACGTAGAAGGGAAATAATAAAATAATAATACAACATAATAAAATAATAATAGTGAGAATTTTATTTTATTAGCTTTTATTTTTATTATTTCCCTTCTACGTGACTTTACCAAAAGAACCAAGAATAAGCACTTCTTTGTGTAATGAGTGTGACCTTATCATGTATTCGTTCGGCAACTGGAAGCCAATGCAGCGTCCGCAAGTGCTGGACGGACGGTCGGATCTTGCAGTACCCGTCATGACACGTGCTAGAGAATTTTGTACACACTGCGGCTTGCTACTGTTTTTCCTCGACATCCCATAGAGTAGTGAGTTGTTATAATCGTTAGCGAGGCACACCCCAGCCTGTATCCACTGCTGGATGACGTCCTCCCCCATGCCTGTGCGGGCAGTGAGGGATATTTAACCATAGTTCACCACACTGGGTAACTGACTTGCCCATATGAAACAAAAATTGAGAGGGGGCAAAGCGTTATTCATGAATAACCATTTTACAAAAAAAATGTAAACGCTCAATGACAAACGACGTCCATCTAAATATTGACGGGGAGAGGTGGGGTGGGGGGGCAACTTCCTCTTTTGTGCCCCCAAGTGTGAGGAGCATAGAAGTACACTACAACGATGAATTTTGCTGAACTGTCGCCTACTCCCCACCACGTAGCCACGCAAGCCCTACGACAAACCGCCCGAGCGTGTTCCAGGCTTTAGCTGGTTAACTTCCAGGGTCTGATAACATCGAGTGGATCCCACCCAGGTGATAGCGGTCATAAGCAGGCTGGGTACTGGACGTTTATCAAACCCTTCCCCGTCCCAGCAGTTTGACGAATCGCCACAATTCGTGGTTCGTGCTTTTGAATTCAGAATTCAGGAAATGGTGATTGCGGTTTGTTTATGTTTTTGTCCCCATGTGTACCGGGCAATGCGTTTCGTTCAATAGCTTACGATACGGAATTGTGTCATTTCCATACAAATAATTATCAATGCTTATTATTGGCCCCGATTCGATGCACGTGTCGCGAGCGCAAAGGGTGGTTTTGAGGGACGAACTGACAGATCGTCACACGCACCTACGTGCGCGTTTGTCGACGCTAGCCTTGCAACGTCGTTCACAAGAACGTCCATTTTGTGACTGGCAGTGCTACTTCTTCAAAACAATGCTTACGCTACGGGCTTTTTTGTCATTTCCAGGGTGGCGGATATTCAGGCCGTGGTTTGGCCGGGCTACGGCAGTACGACTCGTGTTACCATCCCAGCCGATCGATTATCGTTGTTTGTTAATGCGTCCCATCGCTCGGCGAGAGAGAAATTACGACATCAGCAAGCTCGTATGATGCAATGCGTCAATTTAAAATGCACCACTTAATGGAATTTAGTTCATTAAGAAAATTACAATAATTTTACACAAATAAAATTCCTGACCTAGAAATCACGACTCTGTCAGAATTCCCTGCAAAGATTCGATAAACTGTCGTGAATTCTGGGATGGAACTTCAATACATTTCTAAAAATATTTTTCTCTCATGTTTACCATCTTGTTTGCATTGTTTCTCCTTCGTTCCGTCTCATTTGTACATTTGTCCCCTGCGTTATGCAAAATGTGACATAGGCACATGACTTAAATCAATCTCAAATTCACCGCTTCTCACGCGCATCATTTGATACACATATCATGAACCTAACAATCAATATTAAATGTTGATTGGCCAGTATTTTGTAAACCCATGCAAGTCTGCGGTGTCTGCGTGTGCGCTCAGTCACCCCTTCCTTTTCACCCCCATTCAACAACACAACGCATCGTGCATTTTTTTTTAGTACACCAAAAAAACACGGCAACTTGTTTGGCTACGTGTAAGTGTCTCTTAAGAACTGGTGGCGCTGTACACAGGGCATGTCCAGCAAGCGGTAATGACATTGTTTGTCAAACCTTCGCGTCCGGCACTGCACCCACCTTGAGCCGGCATAATCATCCTGGTCTGCGGTAAGAAACACAAATCATTTTCTATCAGCTGTTTTTTTTATTAAATCTCTGCCGAGAAATATGGGGCCACGGATTGGAAATGAGGCAATACGAGGAAGCAAGAACCGTTTGTGTGCAATAGGGCTTAACCTCAACCTGGTTTGTCTGGGTCGGCACCCCCTACGTAAAATATTTCCGCAACCGGCACATCGCATCCACTTCACCTCTCGCTATGACTATGGCTACTCAAAATCAGAATCTTTGTTTTTTAAACTGGAGGAATCAGATGAGCTATAAACATAACATGAGAGGAGTGCAAAGTGTAAGGAAAGGTAAGAAAATCATGATTTTTTTTTCATATCAGGTGACTGCTAGTCACGTGTCACCTACTACTGCAGGCTATCAGTGCTCCGGAAAAAAATATCCAGTGAGGAAATGCAAGCCCTGCGTGCTAGCACACGCACCGCTATTTTTTCAATGCTCTGATCACGCTCGCATCACGCTGGACGGTGCGGGACATTGGTGGGAAATTAATCTCAGGTGTAAAGCGCCAACTGGGGGGAGGGGGGCCGGGTGGGGTGGGAGGGCAGTGTTGCCTCGCAACAAGCCCGTCTGGCGATGGACACAAACGTTCCAAGTTCACTTTGTTCAACGAGACGAGGTACTCGAGAGAGACAAGAGAGAGAGAGATACACTCACTGGCAGTCGTTGGGTTTCGGCCGATAGTAGAACGGGGGGACGTGCTTCTCATATTTCGCTTTTACCGCTTTGTTTCCGAGGCTTGCCATGAACTGAGGGGGAGGGGGGAGAGAAAGAATGGGGAGGTAGAAGCGAGAGAGAGAAAGAATGGGGAGCTTTATTTGCATGGAGTCTGAATGCGGTCATGGATAAACGAAGGCGCACGCAAGTGCAGTGCTCAGCGTTGTTATGCACCGACACTTAGTTTTGGTTCGGTGGAACTTTTTACATTTCAACCACCACCGCCCCTGAAATTCAGCTCAGCAGGTCGAGCAACGGAAAAGAATGCGAGTTAGAATCCCAGTTAGGGTTAGCGGCCTGTGAACATACAGGTCCCTGTCACAGCAATGTGGACTTTTTCACCTCTTGTCACAGGGCAGCCACCAATAAAGGTGTGACCAACGTTCATTTTGACTGTGGGAAACTTTAACGCCCTTACAAGATGGTGTTTATTTACTACATTTTTAGGCATTCGTTATTTGGTGTTCCAGCGTGGAATCAATAATTCCATGTTTATAAAAAGCAATAGCATTGTTAAATGTATTTGGGGAATGATTAAAAATAATATTATTATAAAAATGCTCTTTATTTAACCGTGAAAGCCTCAATGAGTTTCAAGACGTTTTCAGGACGGTCCTGCAATGAAATGTTCATCCAGTTCCATCCGGTTCAATTCAAGAGTCTTTTGCGTATGAGAGGAAATCCAGCATACGGGAAAAACCCACATTCTCGAGCAAACCACGCAAAGGGTTCCAGGCAGATGGATCCAATAATCCATTTGCTGTCCTGCCACCTGCTGAGCCATCACTGAACCTGACAGGTTTGGGAGTTTCACAAATCTCTCCGTGTTCCGCAAACCCTTAGTTTTATCTTTGTTTAGTTTGCTTAACAAGGTGGGAACTCAATAAGGACAGCATAGTTGGATGTGCACGAGTGACCTGGGTAACCAAAACTACAAAAATCTTCAAAAATATATATATACAGCAAGAAAGATAGAACCACAACAGGACAACAGCATTACAGGATAAATTAAATATACTGCACAAATATAGATACAAATACAGCATTGCCTCGTTATTCACGAACTTGTTATCTGCAATTTTGGCTATCCCGTCATTCGCATCTGGAACTCTACACGACTGCATTGAGAGACAGAGAGAATGTGACGCGAGAAAATGATGAGACAAAGTGATGAGAGAGAAACTGACGATATAAAGAGATGACAGAGACAGAGATAACTTCTCGAAGCTTTTGAAGCGTCTGCAGATGTTGCGCGTATAATATTCGTCGGCAAATATTATTATCAGATAAATTTGCTATTCACGAGCATCTCAGGAACATATCCCTCATAAACAACGAGGTAATGCTGTACGTCTCAGTATTAAATTAAACTAAAAGTTCGCGTAACGTACAACGGGGTCGTCCAAATTACTTTTAAAACACTCGCGGAATTCACCGGGTTGCATGTCGTCCCCCCCCCCCATCAACCAGGACACGTTCAGGTACATGGGCCTGGCATTTTTTTGTCACCCAACATTCTGCAGCGTGCCTTTGTTCTTGTGTGCAGAAAAAAAAATAATAAAAATGTTTAAAAAACCAACTCAGAGCATGCGCCACCACACACGGCTCGAACGCAGATGGTCCTTTGGACACCGGCGTTGCCGTCGTGACGTCCCGAAAGGGACGCGAGGGGGTTCGACCCTTACCTGCACCTGCTCGTCGTTCCACTTGTCCGCCCGAGTGGACTTGATCTTGCTGGTGTCCCGCAGGTTCGCGTGGATGCTCGAGCATTCCCGGCACAGGAAGACGCCCAGGGAGTACGATGCCCATTCGGGACCTGCAGGGTCGTCGGAGGGAATTACGTCGTTCGGTCTCGGCGGGCAGCCCTGGCGGCGCGTAAGGCCTCGTTGTCCACTCACACGTGCACACTTTTTTTTTTTTACAAAGATGTGTTAAAGCGTCCGCAAACGCACCAGCCTCCACGCACACCCTTCCGCGCACCCCCCGCCCTCCCACATCTCCAATCAACTATAACGTCAGCAATAGTGATTGGAATGTATATACCCTCTAAATGTAACAGCAACTCGATACGCTTTGCAAAGATGAAAAACTACATTCGGGCAGAACGTGCGCAGGGTGGTGTTTCCAGCTTAGCGGTCCGTTGCTGGATCGAGCGACAGTTACGTCCGACTAACTCACGATAATATTTAGCGACTTTCACTGCAAGACAAAATTATGTATGTATGTTGAACTTCTTTCACACCGTACATAGCCAACTATGCTAATCGGAGGTTCAGGTGTGCATCATGTATCTTTACTGTGGGTAATATTTGCTAAGTTGTCCAGTGAATTTTTTTTACGAAATTAGAATGTCTTTCTCGCAACGATTTGAGATTTATTTTTTGCGACTTTCCCCATTAAGGTGTTGGCAATGTCCCAGGGAAGGGAAAACCACGTGGTTTATGCAGAGTATGCTTCAGTAGACCGCGGGTGCCTCACCTAGAACCCCTAAAGGAATTACAAGAGCAGTTTGGAGAGAATCGCCTTGGCGAGAGGACAGGGTGGGGGACACGTGATCTTGGGCCTGTCTTGGCCTGAGTGGTGGTTGTGGTGGCTCCTGTGCAGAGTAATGGCACCACTGCCCAGTCTACCCAACATTTTTTATTTATTCATTATATTTCTGTTACGTTTTTTTTTACCTGTGCACGTGTGCTATTGAGTCAACCTTAATTTCTCTGTGAAGCATCTTCAGAAGCATTTGTATCCAGGTGCTGTATTGGTACTGTCGTTGTTAACCCCAGGCTAGATTGCTGCAGAGCAATGGGAATGTTTGAGATATGCCGAGACATTTTAGGCACCGCACAAATGCAAATCCTTGTGGCCTTCAGTCCACGAAAACGCTTTATTGAGTCGCAAAACCCTTTTTCAATAACACCACCACCACCCATTACGATGTTTGGACATTCCTTTTGAACGAGTGCTATGCATGTGGGAGGAAACCAGAGTACCCAGAGAAATCCTGCACATACGAAGGGATAATGGCTAAAAAGGTCACTAAACAAGTCGATATTAAAGTGTCTCCCAGCTCAATCGAAATGCACTCATCTGTTGTTATTGGCCCGGAGTTTGTGGTCGAAATTCCACGTTTCCATGGCAGGGGCCATTGTTTCCATAGGGCGATCAATGACTGTCTGCAAAGCGGTACCCATTTTCATTCGTAAGTAATTTGTTCGTGACTGAGCCACCTAACGATCTGATCAAACGCTTCGTAAAACCCCCCACCAACCTGATCAACCCATCACAGGTTAAATTGTCACGTGGTGTAAAATCATATGATCTGTCACATGGTACAAGGGTAACTCTCACAGTTAAACTGAACAATGGACAACCGTTTGCTGAATTCAGTTGCGAAAATTTCTCCCTCAACTAGCCGGCGAGCCGAGAGAATAATAATTGCCGCGTTTAAAACGCTTGTGCACCATGTGACCACTTAATCTGTGCTGGGTCGTTAGAGGGTTTCACCAACGCCACCACCACCACACATTTGGTCAAAACATTACGTGGTCTAGCCGAAAAGACTCTACTGCAAATCATAAATTTGGCTGAGAAAACCTACGCATACACTATAGGTACTCATTTTATCAACCCCAGGGGATGACAGAATGAGTTGACCCTCGTCCATGATCCGACTCGTAACTTTCTTCTTGAGAGGAGGGCGCTCTTAGTCGAATCGCTAATCCGCTAAATCCCCTACGATATGAACTTTTTTTTTTGAATGCCACGCGCTTTGATTGCGTAGCTCGATGGCAGGCAACTCTGATACAATGCAGAGGCAACAGAAAGTGGCAAAGGTCGCGTGCGCGCGGTCTCGTGTCACGCAACGACGTTTCCCCGCATTCGAAGACCACCGCGAACATCTGTCCGCAGCAGCGATGCAACCGTGCGTAAAACTTAAGTTCATAATGTCGCCACATCGCTTCCATATTTCCACTTCCTCTAAGCCGGGTGCGCCCCCCCCACCCAAAAATAACGAACCAAAATTGTGACGACACACGGGGCATTGAGAGACGGAAAGAGGAACGCGTCGCCGATTAGAGAACTAACGCACAAGTTGGAGACGTTATTATGGACTCTCAAAAAACAAGGAGATGTGTTTCCGTGGCAGGCGTCACTAGAAGGGATGCGATGTCAATTTGCCGCTGGTTCCGTAGCGTTCGAGGGGCGGCAGGGGGCAGATTATTTTGATTATTTGGCTGCTATACATTTCCACGTAATAATAAGCCACTTCGTAAGAACTATCATTTGTGAAAGCCAGGTCGCCTCTTACAAACGGAAGCTAACAAGCTCAGTGGGCTTTCTTTACCTGGTAAAAAAACTTTAAAACATGTTTCGTTTTATATCCTCCTATACCGTGCACTCCTATCGTGTTTGTGTTTTTTGTTGTCATGTTCTGACCCGCTCCTACTGGACATCTGTGAAAAAAGAGCTTTATAGCTCATCGGATTCCTCCAGTATAAAGATTCTGAGAAGACAAAGATAGTTGAAGACTCAGACCTCCACTTACAAATAATTCTAGCCATGTCAGCGAGTACTGATACAATATATCTATAGGGTGGGTGAGGTGAGACGGATAAAAACAGCTTGATTAGTTACTCCATTCCGCTTTGCATTTGACGTATGTACGTATGTTGCACTTCTTTCACACCGTACATAGCCAGCCGTGCTAATCAGAGATGCGGGAAACTCTGACATCGTCTGCGGCGTGCCCTTCTCCTCAGTCATTGTCAGTGCCCCCCCACATTAAACAGGGTCGCACTTGCAGAGGCGACGTGATTCAATGTGCAATTCCGAAATTATTCACAAGCACTATCATATATAATTTTCAAAGGGTGCATCCTGCGCGTTGTTTTCTTCACACGTTGTCAGTTGTTTTTTGCCGTAATTATTTAATAGATCGTGGCCTCAATGGGTTTCCTGCCCGGTTAAACTAAAATAATCATCGTATGTGTCTCTCTCCGTTTGGTAATATTTCCTGAGAAGTGGTTTGCAACTTTGATCTCGCGATGACGCTGATGGTATCTCCGAGTTCTTGTTCGAGACATTGAGTTTCCCACCAGTCAGGTAAGAAATTGCAGCAATCGCGGGCACGAGTTGCACAAGAGTTGGACAAACCCACGTGTCTGTGTGTGTGGGACCACATCAGTGACGTGCGGTGAGGTCAATGGCTGGGGAGGCACTGGCTCGTGTCAGAGCTAGATTCACACACGGAGGGGGGCGTGGCCTCACGGAGGGGGCGTGGTCACACACTGAGGGGGCGTGGCCTCGCTGAAGGGCGTGGCCTCACTGAGGGGGGCGTGTTAGACACGTCCCCCTCGGTGAGGCAGATGTGATGGCTGCCTCCCCTGATGCTTTTTCATTGCAGTTTCATGACGAGACCAGCGAGCCTAAATATATTTATACACATACGTGAAATAAGTTACCTGGAGTATGGAAGGCGAGGACATGAAATGAAGGGGTCTACAAACATTACATTGGTGGCATACTAAGATAGTAACAGGCACGCGCTTATTGCCCGCGCTCCATCCAGTTACTGAGGGGTTGGGCAATCAGAGGGGAGGCTGAGCTCGTCGCTGCCTCACCTCTCGTCTCTTCCTGTATTTGCAGCGGAGCTCCACAAATTTGGCGATTTTGACTATAAAAATTATTGGAATCGTACAGAAATTACATTTATAACACAGATCAGTGGAAAAATCTTAATATTTATTTTATTTGATTATTCTTTTTTTTTCGTAACAGCGATTTTCATTGGAGTATGACAGTATCAAACTGCCTCCGCTGACCGCACGTCCCTGTTGCTCAATTGCTGTCAGTTGAAGTTGGTGAGATCCCAGGAAGTTCCACCTGCAGTTTTTTTTATTGATAAATTAGTCAAATACAGTTTAACACGCAGGCTTTCGCCATCAATATTATCCGTAATACAGGGGTGCGCTGTGCCCCGTCATATCTGCATTCACGTAACTCTCGTGTCTCATAGCAGTAATAAGACCATAAGTGAGAATAAGAATAAGATGTACCCTTTCTGGAAATAACAAAGGAGGTGTTAAGTTGTTCAAACACCAAATAGACACGCCTATTGCAAGGCATCAAGTCTGCATTAACCACACATACTTGTGCGTGACGTCATTTATGGACGCCCCCTTATAGTGGTGACGTGTTGACAAACAACGTCCGTGCACACGACTCTGACCAAGTGAAGGCAATTACAATGTTGTTGTAGAAGACCTAGAGGGCTACAGTGTGGTAAAACTATAGGGTATTATTCTAGATTTGAAGCTTTCGTGACTGCAAGGATCCATACTCTTTGTTGCCTCCGAAACGTCGTGATTTAATTTAGTTGTTTTCATTTATTTTATTTTATTAACTATAGGGTAGTTGTCTACAATTACGTGACGATGAAAGTCTGAAAATATAACACGTTAACTCGGTCTGCAGAAATTATGGCCCAGAAATTAGTTTCCCTAGTAAGGCAGGTGCAGCTTAAAGTTATACATTGCCTCAAGTCTTGTGATAAATAAACGCTCTGATAATGTCTGCACTGTCTTTCAAACGGATTGGCCTATACCAGAGACAGCCTTCTTTATGGTCTTGTCGCACCAGTGTTAGACCAGAGAGCGCCAAAAGGTGGACAATACAAAGACAATGCACAAATGAACGCACGCATAGCTCTGGTTGAGCAATTATATCTCTGGGAACTTTTAGCCAGTGTCAAACTGATGAGATAGGAATAGGATGTACCCTTTCCGGCAATAACACAGGAGGCGTTACGATGTTCAAACACGAAATAGATAACCCTAGGTTCGATCCCAACTCAGGCAACCCTTTCTGTGTGGAGTGATTATGTTCTTCCACGTGTTCCGCAATGTGTTTCCTCCTAAGGTCTCCCGTTTCGTCCTATAGCTCATGTAAAAGTGCATAAAAAAACTCAACCGCACGACATAACTGGTATTGAACAAACATCCCAACGCTGAAAACTGAACTGCAAATAACTTTTTTATTTCGATTTAAAGCGTTCGTGACTGCAGGGATTCATCTTCTTGGTTCTTTCGGTAAAGCCACGTAGAAGGGAAATAATAAAATAAAATTAATTAAACATAATAAAATAATTCTCACGTTTCGACCACAACGCAAGCAGCCGTCCTCAGGTGAAGAACAGGTCTGACTTTACTGAAAGAACCAAGAAGATGCAAATTACTTAATTTGGAAAAAAATAGTCTTGAGACTTGGTGAAGTTTTTCTCAACATCAAAGTGTGATAATACAAATGAGGTTTAGAAGCAGAAACCTGAGTACTGTACTAAAAAAAAACCTCACAATGCATTTGGGGAGAATTCTGTACAAATACACGTAGGTCAATAACCCACTTGCTGTACTGCAACCTCCTCAGTCCTGGCCATCTTGCCAATATCTAGTAGCCTGGGAGTCTTAACCTCCAAATGGTCCACTAACCCCTGACTCCAAAGGCCGTTTTATAACAATGTCATGTATTTCACCCATAAAAGCCTCACCGCATCTATCCCCTTGTACGTGCTGTCATCCCCCCTGACCACCTTGCAGCCCACGCCTATAACACCTGTTATTTACAAGCGGTTTGCCCATCCAGGGACGTAGTCACCAGGCTCCATCCCGCTGAGCTTCTCAGATCTGACCACATTACGTTGTGTGCTTTACACGCAAACTTTCTAGCACTGCGATGCGGTTTTCAACCGTTTATCGTGAGCGAATTCAAATTTTCAAAGCGTATACTGTGCAGTACGTATGCCATTCAGCGGTTTGTGATGGATTCTTAATGGATAATTATCTTTGTACCGTTTTCCCGGCATTAAATGCAGGATGACCACGCTGTACTGTAGCAGTGTGAAGGCATTCGAGGGAAAACGGCAGGCGTATAGGGGCCGTCCATAAATGACGTCACGCGATTTTGACGATTTTTGACCCCCCCCCTCAAATATGACGTCACAAAGCTCTGCCCCCCCCCCCCGAAAATAAAACATGCTTCAAATCGCTTTAAACTATTGTCATTGTAGTGCGTATTTAATGTGGCGCTGCACTCTGATGTTTTAAGATAAAGCATTTATTAAAAAGTATATTTAATTAACTAGAACGTGTTGTCTATATTTATTTAAAGTTGTGCATTTTAATGTGACGTCACATTTCTCACCCCCCCCCCCCTCGTCACACATCGTCACAAATGTCTGACCCCCCCCCCTAGGTGCGTGACGTCATTTATGGACGCCCCCTTAAGGTGGGGACGTGTTGACAAACAACGTCCGTGCACACGACTCTGACCGAGTGAAGGCAATTACAATGTTGTTGTAGAAGGCCTAGAGGGCTACAGTGTGGTACAACTATGAAAGTCTGAACATATAACATGTTAACTAGGCCTGCATCAATTATGGCCCAGAGATTGCTTTCCCTAGTAAGGCAGGCCGCAGCTTAATGTTATACATTGCCTCAAGTCTTGTGATAAATAAACGTTTGGCAATTCTACGATCACTGTAATCAGTAAACCAAGTAACCTGCCCCTCGCGGAGTGTGACGCTGAAGCTGATAGAAAGCGGTTAAACCATGAAATTGTGGTGTTTATTGTTGTTGTGTAATATGACCAAGTTTTTTGGGAAAAATATGGCCACGAATGAAAAGGTTTCACAACGACTTCATCTTGTGGGGACAGCCATTCGAGGCGGTGGTGGTGGCTGGCTCATAGGTAGTCCACCCCACAATGAACCTGGCCAGTGGGCCTAAGATTGTATATCCGGCCATGGCTAATGTCAGTGAGACATCATATTCTGACCGGTCCTGAACCTCCGTTCACCAACCCACACCGACCAGCGTGGTGAATTATGGCCAAACAACCCCAACGACCGACACGGTGTGGGGGAGGCCCTTCATCTAGCAGTAGATTGACAAATGGCTGTAAAAATGTTTCTAGTATGATAATTTAACTAGTGGGTTGATGAATAATTGAGGCCTCACTTGAGTCTCAAGGCTCCTTATCAGGAGGGTTCCCCCACATTAGGATGTTTGGCCATTTCCTGAGCGAGTCATTTCTGCATGTGTGGGAGGAAATTGAGGTACCCGGAGAAGCCCACACACACAAGAGAAAAGGAAACATGCCACATTAGCTCGCACGGTGTTAGAATGCTGTGCAGTTCGACGCTCTGTACAATGCAGTACGTGTAGCGTCGAAATTTGGCCGCATATCAAGACTGTACAGAATGAGTGCGTTTTTATTTTATGTTATAGAGAGGCGGTCGGTCATAAGCGGTGGATACAAAGTAAGTCTCTTGAGCCTGGACTCCAACAGGGGCGGCGAGTTGACAGCACAGATGGTTGGGGGATGGAGTTTCAGACTATGGTACCAGCAGATGCTATTCCTGTGTACTCTATTCGACTATGACATGCCATTCACACAGCACTCACTGCTTCTTAATGGAGACGAATTTATGGAAATACCAATGACCCCCAACTCATTTGCACTTATCTGCTCTGCTCATAATGAATCATAGATCCTAACCCTCGCCCGCCTCATTATTGTGTTGCATTGGGCAGGGTGGAGGGTTACCTTTGACCTGTCACAGTCTGCTGCAGGCAACGCTCGCATTGACACAGTGCGGCCCTGGTGGCCACTGCATCAGTTGGAAATGAAATTGATTTCGCCTCATCGAATGATTCCAAAAGGACAACTGGAATGTAATTAAGGGGGGAAAAGACATTGCCATCCGAAATCAAATGCCCTTCCCGTCAAGAAGAGAATTAGACTCGCTAAGTTAATCTGTCTCCTGGATCGAATCCAGTTTTTTTTGTTCTCGGATTATTTCCAGCCGCCAATTCACGAGAACCATCGCGTACATTCTCATCTGTTTCTCAATTTACAGTCACGTCAAGTTGTGAACGGCTTATTTACCTCACGAGTTCCACATCACAAATCTTAAGTCAAGCATTGGAGGGTTTTTTTGTTTTAATCCAACGCGTTTTCCTGCTTCGGGCAGTGTTTATTGCCTTTGGTGGAATTTCCTCATTCCCATGGTGGGGCACAGTCTATCATCAGAACTTCCTTCTAAGTGGTACTGTACGGTACTAATTGTTTCAACTCCAAATCAGCGATGATGATGATAAGGCATGTGGAGTTGCTTTTAAACGCGTGTTGCCAATCAATTAACAAGGGCGCTATATTAATTAACGAAACAACGTTTGTTTACATTGAAATGCCGAAGCAAATTAGCGTTTTTACGCGTCTAAAATGTAACCAAAGTTAGCCCTTTTTAAATAAATAATTTTGTATGTTGAACTTTTCTTGCACTGTACGTAGCCCAACCGTGCCACCCAGGAAATGCTCACTAGGGTCTAAAGAATCCCTTTCAGGAGGGTCCTGCATTGGAATGTTTGGCAAATTCCCCTAAATGAGTGGTTTGGCTTCATGCGGGCGAAAATTGGACAACCCTCGACACATAACAAGGGGTTAAAACGTAACAACTCCGTACAGATGTATTCAGGAATCCTTTGCTCGAGTGCCATTATCTGGCTACCTCGTAATCCCAAGCTCACAACAGAACGCCTGGTATTCCCCAGGGAGTCTCAAATCCAAGTACTAACCATGCTCAGGCCTGTCCAGTTTAGCTTTGTAAGATCCTACAATATTTGGCCCATTATTCAGGGTTATTTGGTCACATGCATAGGGGCTAGGGGGTTGTTAAACGAGAACCGGTAACCGTTTTCAAACTCAATTACCGGTTCAGCAAGGTAGGAGGAAACAGCAACTGGAATATTAGTAATGAATGCATGGAATTGAACCGGCGACCTATTGGATTGCAAGTCCAGTGTGCGAACCGTTAACACCGCTGTGGGCAGCTCTCTTCGTAGTCGTGAAGTATCAAACGCCACGTTTGTTGCTTGACCTTTATATGTGCGGCAAAACTGGTTTGTGACCCGTTTTCTTTTTATTTCACGAGGTTACCGGTAACGCAAAAGCAAACAAATCTTAACAGCCCTATTGAAGACTAAACCGGCTTTCGGAGGCCAATCGAAGTGTCCAAGATACGCTCAAGTGTAGTGGAATTAAATACTTTAAAAGGAAGCCTACAATATCTGTAATTTGCTTATTTCAAACATTAGCACAACAGCAGAGGGTATGCGAACCAACGACCTATCCATTGCGCCAGCGACACGTTTAACTTATTTACACGGATACATTTATTGCATTTAATTATAAACCTTTCCAATGTGACTTTGTGCATCCCAAAACATTATATAATCGATGGGAGGCGATCACGTGAAGGTGAAAGAGAGATAGGACAGCGAAACTCGGCATGCAAGGCTGGCAAACAGCTCGCGTCTGCCCACTCCCAATGTGACCTGGCCATCACAACCACTAATAATCCCACCCGCACCTCGAATCCGCACTCACCTGAGAGCCCACAATCGGCGCACGCCTCGTTCCCATCGACTTTCAGCAGTTGCTGCAGTGCAGCCTCTGCCATGGCTGAGTGATCTTCGGACGGGTGAAGATTCAAACGACCCCCCCCCCGACCCACCCGTTCAGTCGCTTACTCACCCAGCTGCCTGTCCACCCACTCGTTTACTCACCCGCTCTAACCCGGCGACTCACCCACCTGGTTTTCTACCTGGTTAGTTGCCGGTCCACCTCGCTGCTCACCCACCTTGATGGCGACACTTCCTTCCTAACTTTCTTTCTTTCTGACCGACACGCCCACCTGGCTAGCGACGGACTTACTCGCCCAGCCACCTACCAAAACACCAAGAATGTCACGAACCTGGTTACCTATTTGCCTGCCTGCCTACCACCAGCAAATACCAATAGTTCCCTGACTAACCAACTCACCTACCCACGAACAAAAACAACAAGAATGCCACTCGCCTACCTGCCTATTCACTCGAGTACGCCAACAACAGCGCTTTTCTTAAAATCTGCTGCCTGCTTACCTGCCTACCTACCTACCTGCCTGCCTGCATGCCTGCCTGCCTACCTACCTACCTGGCGCCAAAACCGATAACGGAAGAGAACCGACGACCCCCACCAGGCAAACGCCTATCTCATCTCCGCTCCCCCAGCAGTGTAAAGGCACCCACTCACCGGATCCTCCCACTCACGAGCCCACCTGGAGGCGGCTACGAGTGTGGGTTCCTGCCCCTCCCCTCCTCACCTGGGAAAGTGGGCCCAGCAATCGGCTCTCAATCCGGGCCAAATCACCCTCGACGTCTCGCTTAAACGCTTCGATCTGTGCTCACCTGTGCTCCTGCTAACCCTGCTCACCTGAGCCACCGCACCTGAACCAGCTCACCTAAAACAGCTTACCGGCAATAGCCGGCACACCTCACCTGTACCGACGCACCTGATGTTACATAAACCGCCTCACACTCACCTGAGCCACCTTACCTGCAGACCTCACCTGTACCCGCGTACCTATGGCAGTGCTATTGAAACAACGCTATCTACACCCCTCCACACCCACACACCCGCTATCTCTACTCACACACACAACCCCTGCTTGTTGACAGCTCGTGTGCGTTAATCACACACACACACAGTGTCTCCCGCTCTGTAGATGCCTGCTGTCGTTTTGTACTGAAGCGGCTGTGATGTCCGACTGTCTAGGTCGGCTGTCCAAGCAGAGTGGAGGAGAAACCCCACGTAACAGCAGCCTCCCTCCTCCTCCTCGTCCCTCCTCCTCCTTCTCTCTCTCCCCTCCTCGGGTTCCGCATTCTGCAGTGCCGAGGCTGGCACGGGCACCACAGCGCCGCCTGCTGTGCCATCGCGTGCAGCTTTAGCTGTGTGTGGCTGCACATGTGATGGCTGTACGATTATACACTGGTCAACACACTTTTTCTGGCATAAGGTATTCCAACGGTTTTAATGTAATTTCGGGGTGCTGATTACAAATCTGACATCAGTTTTTGTCTATCACATCAGGTTTTTGAGATATCAAATATTGCATTTTCAATAAAAACTGCAAACATTATATTAAATAAATGTGGATATCTACATAAAATTCTATTATAAACACACTATCCTAAAAATACAGCACCATATTTTAACACTAAAGCAGTCACTGACTCGCAACAACTTGCAATCATAAGTGACAGAGTTAATATCGGGTAAAATCAATGAAAATGGGGTATGCCGATAGCATAAAAAATGTAATGTGATAGAGCAAATCTGAGATCAGATTTGGAATCAGCACCCTGAAATTAGTCTAAAACAGCTGCAAAAGTCCAAGCCAGAAAAAAACGTTTTTTTTTAGTTGACCAGTGTTATTTGAACCGGTCCTGTGTCTTCCCCCTAGGTCGACTCAGCCTCAAATGAGTACCTGGTGCGGTGTGTAGTAGACATCGCCACCGGGGAGGCAAAGGTGGCCGGGCGTGGTGCTGGGCACCCACTCACCCCCTGGTGTACTGTTCCGGCCTTCATAGGTGCTCGCTAACAGCACTTGCCCCAACAGTCTGTCCAGGCTATACGGGGGATCTTTGTCTTGATGGCTCTAGATGTGTGTGTCTATCGTTGAGTGCGGCTGTGTTTGTGTATTGAGTGGTACGGCTGTAGTTGTATGTAGCTGTGTGTGGCTTTAGTTCTGTGTGTCTGTAATTGAGTGCGGCTGTGTTTAGTGCAACTGCGATTGTCTGTTGCTGTAGCTGTGTGTTGAGTGAAACTGCAGCTGTGTGTTGAAAACAGTTACGTATAATAAATGTTGTTTTTGTTAGATCGGGTAAATATAAGTGTGTCATAATAGGGGTTTTCTCCCTTTTTTCTGGCAAAAAACCCCTATTATTATATTTTGGTACTGGCAAAGGAGGTCCAAGATGTAGATGGTCACCCCGTGCCCTCATTACTTTGATAGTGCATCATTGTCTTTGAGCTGTACGCCTTTTGGCGTCCTCTGGTCGAGCACCAATTGGGTCGAGGCTCAAAAGAAAGCCGTCCCTTGGTGTGGACCAATCAGTTTCAAGAACAATGCATATATTATCATAGTGGTTTTTTTTGCATTTGACTGCAGGTATTGTGGTTAATGCAGACATGAATTCTTGTAAAAAGGTTTCAGTTTTGTTGCCTGAAAAAAGGCGGAAAACCCCTATTATTATATTTTGGTACTGGCAAAGTAGGTCCAATGATATAAATGTGTCGTTAATCCGCCAACACCCGACACAGCCAAGTAGTAAGGTTTTTCACTCAAACAAAAAGTGCCAATGAGTTACTGGTTCATCACACCGGCGTGTGTGTAGGAAAGTAGACCCACGACATCTACAATTCGAGTCCGACGTTTCGCTGGTGATTACGACAACCAGCTTCGCCAGGCGATTTGCCAGAATTGTGAAGAAGTCTTCCTATTTCGGTCTTAAAATAGGGTAGAGGGGATGTCATCATATTCATATTCACGCGATCTAACGCTGAAAAAAAACCTCATGGATAATATTGATCGCGAAATCCTACGTGTTAATAGAGACGCTTATATCTACATCATGCAGCTGTAGCTACACATGCTGTAGCCGTACATGCGTTGGGTGCATCTGTACCCGTGTTGGATTGTAGCAGTAGCTGTGTGTTGAAGGCGGCTGCGGGCTGCTATACACGTGTGAAGCGGTGTAGCAGCAACAGCAGCAGCAGCAGCTGCGTGTATTCATCATAGCCCTTATCTACTTTTGAGCTGCAGCTGTTTGACCGTTTTAAAGCAGAAATCCCACATGATTGAGGTGGTCATCTGTGTCTAATTTAGGTTGCCAGTGTGCCTGAACACCCCCCCACACCACCAGCCCTCCATACTAACCATCCACAACAACTCCCATGGTTAAAAACACATTCCTGCGGAGGAAGCTGGTAGGAACGTTGGGTTGCTCGGTCAATGGCCAGGGTCAACGGCAGCGTGGTGTATTCCGCAAATATGCCCGACTGTGAGGGCGGGCACAAGCCGGCGTGAGTAGGTTCAATGTTGAGTTTTATAAGGGCACCACGGGGTGACCAGCCCCTCCCCACCCAGCCCCACCCCTCCGACCCCCCACCCAGCCCCACCCTCCCCACCCAGCCTCTCTCTACCCTCCCCACCCAGCCACTCCCCACTCTCCCCACCCAGCCCCTCCCCACCCTCCCCACCCAGCCCCTCCCCACTCTACCCTCCCCACCCAGCCCCTCCCTCCCCACCCAGCCCCTCCCTGCACGACGGACACAATAATCCCCTGTGGGCTGGTGTAACCAGGAGGTTACCTACCAGTAGGAAACATCTGAGACCCTCCAGAAACCTCGCTCGGGAAATGCGGCTTACGGATGTCGCATCCCCACCTCGCGTGAACTAGAGGTTCTTTGCCCAAAGGATCGCGAACCGGAGTGCTGGCGCGCACATGTCACCCATATCCTTGGGGGCAAGGGTTTGTGGATCGCGTAGAGATTTGCGAAGCTCCCGAAACCGCATTGGCCCTTCAACTGCTTATTTCGACTCGCGCGACGTAGTTCCATTCAGCCGATCGCGTTATAACCAATTTGCATCCGCGTTATATACAAAAAAAACAAATGTGTTCCCTAAGGGGCCGTCCATAAATGACGTCACGCGATTTTGGACGATTTTTGACCCCCCCCCCCTCGCTCGTCACACGGCGTCATAAAAAGTCAGACCCCCCCTCAAATATGTTTCCCCCCCCAAAAAAACATGTTTCAAATCGCTTTAAACTATTGTCATTGTAGTGCGTATTTAATGTGCCGCTGCACTCTGATGTTGTAGGAGAAAACATTTATTAAAAAGTCAATTTAATTAAGTAGAACGTGTTGTCTATATTTATTTAAATTTGCGCATTTTGATGTGACGTCACATTTCTCACCCCCCCCCCCTCGTCACAAATGTCTGACCCCCCCCTAGGTGCGTGACGTCATTTATGGACGGCCCCAAATACGTTCATCGCGTTACGTCGAATTCGCAACCAACAGAGCCGTGGACCGTAGAACAACGACTCAATGCCCGATTCACAAATCGGAAGGGCAGGCATCGTGGCACAGCGAAGCGCTTCGCTCCTCCTATCACGCAATCATCTGGCTCAACCACCGCGATGTTAAATTATAGTTGTCGCTCTACATCAGGGGGTAGGGCAACCAAAATTACAAGAAGTGCCATTTAAAAAAAAATTCGGGAGAAAAATGTAACGTTTCGAGAGCGGCAATGCAATGTGAATACGCGATACGGTGGTCCTTCATTTAAAAAAAAAAACGTCACGAAGGAGTTCCGTAAAGAGCTGCTGGTTGCTGACCTCAGGTCAACATCAACATCAGCCGTACGAAGAAGACTCATCAACGGTGTTATTCATTTTAGTTTTTACAATCGAGCCAGACAGTATAAGGAATTAAAAACCCCGTACAAACAAAACCCTAAATAATAATCGAACATTGACTTTAATCGTGACAGTGCATCGAATCTCCTGGGGGTGGTGGTGGTGGTGGTGGGATCGGGCGTGTGGAGGCCGAGGGGGACAGGTGTGCTAAATGTGTTACTTGCCCATTTGTGGAACTCCCTTCGGCACATCATTCCGTTAACAGTTGGGCAGATAAAGCTGCCCCACTCTCAAACATGCCACGTCGTCGCACGCCCACTCCAAGGCACTCCCAAGGCTCGTGTGCGTGTGGCACCATGACACTGCTGTTTGCTCCGAGCAAACAGAAAACACATTCCTGCGGAGGGAGCTGGTGGGAACGTTGGGTTGCTCGATCAATGGCCAGGGTCAACGGCGGCGTGGTGTATTCCGCAAATATGCCCGACTGTGAGGGCGGGCACAAGCCGGCGTGAGTAGGTTAAACGTTGAGTTTTATAAGGGCACCACGGGGTGACACTAAAGGCGTCAGTTTTGTTGCCAGATAAAATGGTAAAAAAAACTAATATCATATTTTACTACTGGCAAAGGAGGTTCCAATGGTGTAAATGCTTATCCCGAGCTCTCATACTCTGATGGTGCATTGTCTTTGAGTTGTGTGCATTTTGGCGTCATCTGGTCCAACACCATGTGAGAATCGGCTCTAAGAAAAGCTGTCTTGGGTGTGGACCAATCAATTTCAAGGACAGTGCATACATTATACTGGTAGGAACCTCCTGGTTACACCAGCCCACAGGGGATTATTGCGTCCGTCCATCCGTCATGAATAAAAAAATGGGTGGGGAGGGGCTGGGTGGGTAGGGGCTGGGTGGGGAGGGGCTGGGTGGGGAGGGGCTGGTCACCCCATGGTGCCCTTATAAAACTCAACGTTTAACCTACTCATGCCGGCTTGTGCCCGCCCTCACAGTCGGCCATATCTGCTGGAATCCATCACGCTGCCGTTGACCCTGGCCATTGACCGAGCAACCCAACGTTCCTACCAGCTCCCTCCGCAGGAATGTGTTCAGAGTTGTGTTTTTGTTTGCATTCCGACCGCAGGTATTGTGGTCAATGCAAACATGACTCCTTGTAAAAAAGGTGTCAGTTTTGTTGCCAGATAAAAGGGTAAAAAAACAATTATCAAATGTCCGTCTCTCAACGTACAAGGTAAAACATATCTTAGCCCTATTCGTTTGTGAGCCTTCTGGACAAAATGTTATTCAGCGGGATTTGTTTTTTTACCTTTTGGGACTGGTTTTTTTTACATGTTGTGTCTTATCAGCAATCTGGCCTAGATAATGTTGGTTAAAGAGCTCTT